GGTGTGCTCATTAGTGTTGGTGTTAGTGTTAGTGCAAGGTTTTCTGCGCTAACTATAGCTTCCACAATGGTGCCGCCCCCTTGAGGAAAGTGAAGAGTTTTGACTTGCTTTTCCGTCTGAATTGAATGGATCAAGTGGAATAGAGATCTGCCGATCAGGGAGATCAGCGTCAATCTTCTGTGTTTGCTTCTGCCTATTTGGTGTCGGTCTGGGATTTAAGTGCCTTGCGCCCGGGCGTTTTCTACTAGTAGAAATTGGTGATGGTAATTGCTGTTAGCTTGGGATCTAAGATGCAGTTCCTCTTTTTGGGCGATGCTCCTCTGTCGATGTTACTTCGGCTTTCAATGTAGATTGGATCCCGAGATCTTCAGTTGTAGGACGCCGGAGGTCTATTCGCGACTGTCATCTGACTAGTTCAATCTAAGGAATGGAGCTTAGTGATAGATTTGGGTCTAGGGCTGAAGAGATTTTTCAATTGTTAATCTCGGCTTAGTGCTCGCGGACTTGGGTAACCGATATTTCGCTAGACTACGCTATAGTGATAAGTTGTAAAGATTTTGGTTGTCAAGATTATGACCAAAAAAAACAAAACGAAACAATACTTCTCCTTATTGATATATCTGGGAATCAGGATGCATAGCTGCTAAATTTGGGAAGGCAATTGAGAAAATATATATGTCTTGGAACCGCTGCCGTGCGCAAACATCTAGACATTGGCCCACCATACGACAGTGAAAGAAAACTAATCACTATAAAAGCTGAAAAGTCCTATCAGTGGCGAGAAGCACACTGCCGTTGATTTACTCGACCAGGTTTGTAGCTGAAACGACCAATGATTCGTGTAAATGCAGATGTAGGCCACGTCGCAACCGCCAATATACCTTTGCTGACTGGGATATGACCCAAAGGATTACAGCACACTGACAGTAGTTGCAGCCCCAGAGAATGTGGCTCCTTTCGCTAGAGCCGGCCTTTTTCCCCTGAGGGTGTCCCGGTATCCTCCCATGCCTCACATCTATATCACTTCGCCCAGCTTTTCTCGAAATCAATGTGCCCGTGGGTCTTAAAGGGTAAGATTGCTCATTCTAGGTCACAGTACGTGCAAACAGGTGCTTAGACGTTTCATTAGCCATGCTGTTGTATACGCCGGAAGCTTTTGCCTGGAAGCACCGCAGGAAGAAGTTTGTGCCGGGCAACATACCAAGACGTCTCGAAATGATGCGATAGGGAAGATAAACAAAGCAATCAGTAAGCTGTAGCTTGCCGTAGATTTTCATTATATCTCTACTTTGACTCCTCGCGCAAGTCGATATCAAACTTTTCGAAGACTCGTACACGGTGTAGCTGCAACTGCTCTGCAATTGTCGACAATATCCTTTGCCCAAGAACTGCAGAGTCAGTTGTTGAAACTTGTGTCAAGAACGGGTGACCTTTTGTTAAGAGAGTATATTGTATATCTCCAGTACCATGATTGCGAGGGTGAGAATAGGCACGAGAACAATGAAGGGTGTGATGTACCTGTAGAATGTGTCTGCAGAATAGATTAGCATACAAGCCCTGTGGAACCAGTCACAATATATCAAGACGACAGAGAGATCAACGGCAAATAGGCAGTGAAAGGAAACGTTCAGCGAGTCGTGCACGTATGCCGCATTCCTGGCTCATGTATCCCACAGAGCCATTCTGGAGCTTGATAGATAAATAGACCACTGTCGAAATAAAATTCCCAATGTAATTATAGATTTTTGTCTGGTCCTAAACGCTAGAGCTTGAAGCAGCTCATGGTTCGTGTTGCTTATTGCGTTTCACGAACCAAACTGGCAGACATTCGAGTTGTTTTTATTCATTATTGTGGTCCTGTTTGATGATGAGAGCCACTTGTTGATGAGAGTCATGAAAGAATGCTTGATATAGTTGAATGGACACAAATCGAAGACATCAGTATTGAATCCTTGAGTGACTTGGACAAGGTGATGGCTGGGTTACGAAGCAGGCACCCTGCAACTGGCATTGTACAAGGAGTCAACGATTGAGTTGAGCCGGAGAATGTATTAGAGGACTTATATAAGGGCAATCATGTTGCTTATGTGTTCCCCGGGGGGATCTCGGTTCATTTCGCCAAATTATATGACCTGAGAACAGCCAGAAAATTCGTAATTGAACATTGTTATCCTCAGTCTCATGATTCGATGGGCACAACAGTGACTACTTCTGGTACAAAGCGCGGTGTTGAAACTGCCTGCCAAAGCAAATGCTTATTGTTTGTCCAGAATCTGATATCTGGGAAATTTCTCTGCTACCACTGGTCTCTTTCCTCACCCACAACGCCTTCTTCATTCTATTCCAATATCTCTAGATACCCATTGAGCTTCTTTAATCTGCCACCAAGCCAGAGGACTAGGAGGTAAGGCCATCTTACATTCTACTCATTTCCGTGCCTTGCACTCGAGATTTACCCGCTGTCTCGCTGCATGCTTAAGCTAACGACGAAGACCCACGAGCCCACATGCACCGACCTTCTATCCACCTCGATTTTGGCATTTGATAGACTATCCAAGCAAGCATATTTCGAGTCTCTGCAAAAGTCTGCCATCATAATCCAACAACCCTCAACAACCACAGACCTCATGATGGCATCAGCGAGACCCGGCGGCTTTCCCAGGTAGTCTCCAAGCTCAGCCTAGGTACTAATAACTACAATATCTGGGTCAGCGGACTGGAACAAGGCATATCCAGTATAAACCCAGAGTACTGGTCAATACTCGCAGGAGATATTGAGTATCCAGCCGAGCCCGATTACATCTACTACACCACCGAGGAATCCTATTTCGCCGTTGCCATGACAGAATATATGGAGGTGGGATTTGCAACTGAACTTCACACCATCAGACAGGAGGTGGAACAATTTATCTCCATCAACCGTGACCACAACAAGCGTCTCCTCGCACAATACGAAGCTCGACTCGGAGAATTCGAAGAGTTAAACCAGAAGGCTCGGATGCTCCTTGAGTCAACTCTTGAAATGGCACCAGCTGCCATGATCTCCTGCATCTTTGGGGCACGCTCTGCCTTCCTAGTGCTGGATCGTTTCAAGATGCGAGGTTTTTGATTAGCATGGAGAAGTGAGTACAGTGAAAGTCCGATGATCGAATCTGCGAGATATCTAGAAAATCTCCCAGCACATCCCAAGGTACAAATAAATGATCATAGTCATTCGGATATAATGATGCTGATTCCATGTATAAGTTACAGTTTAGTCCGACTTCCCGGGACACAATCATCGTGACGTCAAGTTGGTAATTCAATAAGCCAAGAAAATAATTTCTAGATTTAAGATGCTGTGAATATTCTCTTCCTCTACAAAATATTTCAGATAAAGAATTACTGGATGAAGTCTAACCTATCTTACGCTCAGAATCACCAGTGAAGCATAATCCAACAAAAACATCCATCAACTCAGGTTGAATAGATCGCCGACATGTCAGCCTGCACCAGAAACACCGACGATACAAGTGGAATCCCAGGCGATTCACGAACAGTCAAGAGTAAAGTACTCGAAACAGGAGCTTCAATGGTCCAAGACTTCGCGCCAGTGAAACAGATCTGCGCGCACCTCAACGCATTCCATGTCTATGCCAACGACCCAACTCGATGCGTTGAGGCGAACCACTACTGCACGCATCTAACAGAAGGTATGCAGTCCTAGCTACAGTCATGATACGGCACCATCAAAGCCCTACCTACTCTTCCCTAACGATATGACGCAAACTAACAACAAACACCAGACGTCCGCCAATGTCTAATCTACGACTCGCCAAAAACAAACGCCCGCCTAATCGGCATCGAATACATGGTCTCACCCCGAATCTTCGAAACGCTCCCAGCCGAAGAACGCAAGCTTTGGCACACGCACGAGTTCGAAGTGAAGAGCGGCATGCTGATCATGCCCGCGCCAGCTGGCGTCCCCAAGCCTGCATGGGAGGCAGCTGAGACGGCTGAGATGCAGGATGTTGCGCCTATTTATGGAAAAACTTATCATTTTTGGCAGGTTGATCGTGGGGATGTTGTGCCTATGGGTCCGCCGCAGTTGATGGGGAGTTTTACTTCGCCTGAGAGTGTGGAGGTTGCGAAGCCTGGGGGCTTGGATGAGTTGTTGGGGGATCGGGATGGAAGGTTTGGGGTTGATTATCGGCAGAAGGCTAAGAAGAGGGAGGGGATTGAGGCTGTCGAGAAGCATTCTGGTATGTATATTATCCTGCTTCGCTGGAGACTCATTCTCGGGTGTTGGTTGACATTGGGCTGACAATTGACTTCTTATAGATGCTGACTCGATGTGGAAATCGAATTAAGGAATGGATCTGTGTTTTATACAGAACAGTATGGTGAAATGAATATGAATTGAAATAAATTGATATACAGAGATGTCTCCCCGCTGCGCATGACTCAAAGACCCAGTCCCATAATGAAATGGGGTCAAGATTGAGGCACACTGGGGGACAGCCAAGAAGAAGATAGGCTGGTTGTGTTCATCTTGCTTCATTGTCCACACTTGCTCGTCCTGGTGCTGAATTTCGGCGACGGCAAGCTCTAGCATTTGGAGAAGCGAATTTCCCGAGTGGGAGAGGGTAGGGGAATTAGATATGGGGAAATGATGGCAAGGGGGTATAATATCAACTGAACAGGTCAAGCATCTCTGCCTATTGTAGAGATGCTTGCGAAGAAAAGTCGAAACCTAGGAAAATCCAGGTGCTCAGCCCAGCGCCCACAACATTAAATGGACAGCTGGAATAGCAAGAATGATCCCAGGACCTCACAATCCAATATAGCAGCGATATCTGCCACCTCAAGGTGCAGGACAATATGTCGACTGTCGATGAGAAGGGAAAGACGGGAGGGCAGCGAAATCGAGATTTTTAAAGGCCCCGCTGGGTCACATGACCCAATCGCGGACCGACTGAAGCTCAATCCGAAAGAACCAACTAGCTCTCGATTAACCACACATGGAGCGCTTATTCCGAAATACGCTGCGACACGCCAACCTGCGCAGCATTGGCCGGCTTGCACTCAATGGCGCCGGCACTTTCTGCGGCTGCGCGCTGATCTGGGAGCACCTGATCACCATCCAGGCCAGCGCCGGTCCGTCCATGTACCCGACCTTCAACGTGCGAGGCGACTGGCTTCTGATCTCGCGGATGCACCGACACGGAAAGGGAATTGAGGTCGGCGACGTTGTGCGATTTGGACATCCAAACTTCCAGGGCGTTCATGTTGCGAAGCGGGTCGTTGGGATGCCTGGGGACTTTGTTTGTCAGGACCAGCAGTTTAGTACGGAGGTTGGGAAGGACCGAAACATGATTCAGGTATGGGTGCTGTCTTGCTCTAGAGTTATGTGGTTCAATTGCTGACTTATGTTTGTTGTTAAGATCCCCGAGGGCCATGTCTTTCTGGCTGGCGACAATCTTCCCTGGTCGAGAGATTCGAGAAACTACGGACCGGTTCCTATGGGTTTAATCAATGGAAAGATTGTTGCAAGGGTATGGCCGCCGTCGAAGATGGAGTGGGTGCGTAACCCGTTGCAACCTGTGCAATTGGATTAGATTGGACTATGCGGCACGCATCTATACTTTATGCCGTTGAGTGTATTACTTGGGATTTTGTTTAAGCATTACATGGAGTTTGTGATTGGGAGGGAATTGTGAAAGCAGTGTGCATATTCATACATATCAAATTGTACAATACAAAATCTATACTCCATCGCCGATATAGGAAACGAATTAGACAAGACAAGATTAGCGGAATGACGAGGGGTTACGTCTCTTATATGGCAGAGGCTCGACCCGTGCGCGGCGCAGTTCCACGTTGGCACCGTTGAATCCGATCTCCTTCATAACCTCCAGGGTCGTGTCGTCCCATTGGGTACGGAACAAGTGAGCACCAATGGCCTTAAGGTGGTAGCTGGCCTGGAGGGTGCGGAGAGTGACGTCGCGGCTAGTCTCCTTGGCCTTGATGGCCTCAAAATTGAGAGGGCGAGAGTTCTTCTGCTCCATAATGAAGACAGAGAGACGGTGGTAGGGACTACCCTTCTGAGCAACAGGGGGCAGCCAGGGAAGAACCACCTGGGAGTCTTCCAGAAGTTTGGAGAGATCGACCTTGGTGGAGGTGGCCGAGATGGGCACATTGACGGCGAGGAAGTGCGTTTTATAATCGAAGCTGTTGGCCTCAACGTTCGGGATATCCGGGTCAACAATTGCAATAGTGACAAGCTTTTCACCACCCTCGAAGATTTGAATGTCCAACTTCGGTGCGCTTGTGCTGGCTCTTGCCTCGACAAATTCACCAGCCTGAACTTGGCGCTTGCCGAAGTACATCCTGGTGTCCACGACGGGATCGCAGTGAGGCAGAACATCGGGAATGACCTTCATTTGGGTAATACGCTGGACCAGAATCTTGCGGCGGTACTCGCGCCATTTGCGGTCGGCCAAAAAGCGGTAGATGGGCTTGGACATGTCGCCTGGAATGGAAATATGATAAGCCTGGGCCCAAGTCACCAAATGGGTCGGTCAGGAAGCCTTACCTTCGCCATCCTCGAAATTGCGCTTCACCAAGGGATCGTTAATATCGGCCAGGATTTTGAGGCGTTCCAAGTGTAATTGCATCGCCGTGACACGGGACTTCTTCGCCTTCTCTCCTCCGGCCTCCTCAACGGACAGAGATTCCTGTCGTGCAAGGCGCTGTCTCATTGTCTCAATCTCCTTCAATTTCTCCTCACGGTCGGCGAGGAGAACCTTCCGAGCTTCTTGGAAACATTGGTATGGCAGTTGTTCAAAAGGAATGTTGGCAGAGTCTTGGAGCGCAGCACGGCGACGACGAGATCCAATGGGGGCGGTACCCTGTCGCAACAAGCGTCTCTCTAACCGGGGACTCGTCACAAGAGAAGGATCGGGTGCCTTGTGGAAGGGTTGGTTTGTCGTTTCAGCTTCGGGCTCTCTAACGCTGGCAGTCGACTGGAAGGCTCGCGTCTGGAGCTGGGCTCCAGCAATGCCTCGAGAGTAGGTGTTGCGAAGGCATTGGAGCAGGGGCTTCGAAGCCCGCTCGCAGTGAGCCATGATTCGAAGAATTGGGGGTTGTGATGGCGTTGGCCTCGAGGATCGGGTGTTGTTGTCTTTCCGGGGTGACTTTTTCTGTTCAGACGCCAAGATTCTGCTAGTACCCACCGCCCGGGATCAACTTTTGCTCGTCCATTCAAGACACCAGACATCATCAACTTATAGGCGTTATCCACCGCAGTGGTTCTACACAATGCCTAGTCACGATGTCTTTCGCTCGCTGCGCCTGCTGTCACGCAGCTCGGGCGGACTCATGTCTGGTCCGAAGCAAGTGACGGTGAGTGACTCCGTGAATTGTTGATCCGTGTGTTGGACGCAGTTACTGACAAGCAACCCAATTCCGCAGCAGCGATGCCTCACACGGTCAATGGCAACAGAAGCCAAGCCTACAACACCCATCGAGACACAAAATGCCACCGAGGCCCCCCAAGCACAACGGCCCGGAGGCCAACTCCCTGTTCAAGTCGTGACCTACCGCTGGCCTGACATGAAACCCGAACGCATGATTCACTATTCGCGGAGACTCCTTCAAATGCCCATTCGTCATGATATCCTTCACCGCGCAGTCGTCTACGAGGGTGATGCAACCCGGCAAGGAACAGCCAGCACCAAGTGGAGGGACGATGTGCACGGTAGTCACAGGAAGCTGTACGCACAGAAGGGCTCCGGTCGTGCCCGTGCAGGTGACAAGCAATCGCCAGTTCGCCGCGGTGGTGGTGTGGCCCACGGACCCCATCCTCGCGATTTCTCGACCGATCTGCCACGAAAGATTTATGCCCAAGCCTGGCGCATCGCCCTCAGCTACAGGCACGCACGCGGCGAATTGATTGTCGTGGAGAACTCAATTACTCTCCCCGAAGAGGCCACTCCGTTTTTCGTCAGGAACGTCGCCACGGCTCATGGCTGGGACCAGAAGAAGGGTCGGGTAACACTCATTACACGGAAGGCGGATGAGAGGTTGTTCCAAGCAGCCGAGAAGTTCCAGAAGCACGTGAAATGCATCGAATTTGCGGATGTGGATGTGAAGGATATGCTGGAGACAGGGAGAATCGTTATTGAGAAGGAGGCATTGCACAGGCTTTTGCGCGAGAACTCTACAGACCTGACTCAGGAGGACAGAGTCTGGTCGCCTTCACTAGACGGAAAGGAAATACTCCAGCTGGGCCGCCCTCGGGCTTGATTGTGTTGCTGTTATATTGTTTGCATTATCTAGCTATGTACAAATAGATCTATACTTATCACTTTATTTCAGAACCGTGCTAGTCTAAAACCCAGTATTTTTATAGTATTTCCATAGTATTTTATTTCAATTCATTCCACACAACACAATGCAAACCCTTGACATCAAATAGCATCCAAAGGTGATGTCAAGCAGTGTCGGTTATGGGCGGAGAGTCGGAGCGGAAAGAAAATCCAGCGAGAAAAACTCCCGAGGTCAAGAAAGCGGAGAAACATCTGATTGTCACCATCATACCCCCTTCCCTCGATTCTTTCTTTTCTTCGGTCTAATGTTACTTCGACAATCATTCTCCCGCCTACCCTCGCCGAGCTGGATCTCGCGCGTTTCCCCAATGCCTCTACGCGCAAAGGTGACCAACCCTGCCTTCACGGCAACAGCTGCGGTATGCACTCCTCGGACCGAACACCGACATCAGAGCTGATCATTGATAGATGTCGACGAATATCCCTAAAGAACTTCCCACCGATGAGCCAGATGATGTTCTGTTCAACTCGATTTACGGTATCCGCAGCGTCGAGCTCAACCGCCCTAAGAAGCTCAATTCTTTGAACGGCTCCATGGCACGGAAGATTTTCCCTCGACTGAAGGTTAGATTGGTTCACCGGAAGACAAGAGCAACAGAATACTAAGCATTGGTTGAATAGGAATGGGAGAAGTCTAGTCTCGCGAACATGATCCTCATCTCGGGAGCTGGCGAGAAGGCTCTCTGCGCAGGCGGCGACGTTGCCGCTCTGGCAAAGCAGAACGCGGAGGGACTGGAGGGACAACAAGCCTCGACTAGCTTTTTCGCCCTCGAATACGCACTCGACCACATGATTGCTACATATCCGAAGCCCGTTATATCGTTTATGGATGGAATTACCATGGGTGGTGGTGTTGGCCTCAGCATGCACGCTCCTTTCCGCATTGCAACTGAGCGGACTGTTTTTGCCATGCCCGAGACAACCATTGGTTTCTTCCCTGACGTGGGTGGCTCGTTCTTCCTGCCCCGCCTCGATGGCGAGACCGGCACCTACCTGGCCCTGACCTCGGAGCGCCTGAAGGGTGTGCAGACTCTGTACGCCGGCATTGCTACTCACTACCTGCACTCGAGTGTTTTGGCCAATGTGACCCAGCGTCTCTCTGAGCTGACCTTCCCCGATCACGTCGAGCTCCCCGAACGCTTACACACCGTGAACAAGACTATGGCAGAGTTCTCACTTGGCCTTCCTCCTCTTGAGGAGGAGCCTATGCTCATGGCTGGTAGCCTGCGCACTGCCATTGACCGCTGCTTCGCATTCAACACCGTGGAGGAGATCTTCCAGGCTCTGGAGCAGGAGACTGAGCACAAGGAGTGGGCCCAGAAGACATTAGAGACCCTTTCGAGCCGCTCACCTACTTCCCTGAAGGTGACACTTCGCCAGCTGCGCCTCGGTAAGAAGTGGAGCATCTCAGAGACCTTCAAGCGCGAGCACGCGATCTCTGCCCACTTTATGCGCCACCCCGACTTTGTTGAGGGTGTCAACGCCCGTTTGGTGTCGAAGCCTCCTCGCCAGGCTGAGTGGCAGCCGGCGACTCTGAAGGAGGTATCAGACGAGGCTGTGGAAGAGTTCTTCAAGATCCCCGAGGGCGAGGAGCGCCTATCCCTCTTCAGCAATGGAGACTACAAGAGCTACCCCCACGCTCACTTCGCCCTCCCCACTGAGAAGGAGATTGAGCAAGTTGTGCGTCAAGGACACGCATCACGGAGACCCGTGGTGGACCACTTCCTCGAGAAGTACGCCCACCGCGAGGGTGTCCGCCGAAAGGTCGTCGAGGTGATTGCCCGGAAGACGTCGAAGACTGCCGAGGGAGGCCTCAAGTGGAACTAAGAGGGATACCATCTACCTGTAATTTTTTATTGTTCTGGTGTATTAGAATTTATCAATATTGGGCCTATATACCCACATGCCATTTACCCCATTCTCACATCAATCATCTTCCGTAGAAGTAGAAATAGAAGTTTAGCCTTAGATAACTATAGAACAAGTATAAAACACAACATCCAAGCGGCAAACACTCCCAACAGTCACTAGTGCGGGTTCCACAAAAGGTCCTCAGCCCACCCGCAACATCGCAGATCCGCACCTCAACTCATCTACCTCAATGGCAAATCTACACACCCAACTTGTATAACCAGCACATCAAAATGGAGCTAGGAACCCCGTCTTCCGGACCAAGCAGATTCTCATCTGAAAGCATTAATACCGAGCGCACTATCGTACCGACCTCAGAGCCAAGTCCACAACTAAATACCACCCCAGCACCAGAAGCCCGCTCCGTCTTAACACGCCTCTATATCTCACACACTCTATCCGCATGGAACTCACGCATGTTCGAGTTTGGCGCGGTGCTATTCCTTGCTTCTATCTTCCCTGGCACATTGCTCTATGCGTCGATATATGCTTTGGTCCGGGCTTTGTCGGCTGTTGCACTTTCGTCTTGGCTGGGTGCGCGGGTTGATCGGTCTGATCGACTTGTTGCTTTGAGGTATTCGATAGGTATGTGTATTATCTCTTTTTCTTGATTTCTTGGTTTGATTTGAATTGGTTTGATTTTTACTTGGATTGCTAATCGGGTTATTAGTTTGGCAACGAGTTCCTGTTGCTGTATCGTGTTTGTGCTTTGTGGTTCTTTTGAGCACGAAGTCTTGGACAATCACTCTTGTCCTGTTTGCTGTACAGGGGATTTTAGCTTGTTTGGAAAAATTGGCTGCTACGGCAAATACGGTAGCTGTGGAGCGAGATTGGGTATGTTCTTGAGATTTGAGCTATACATTCTTCATTGCTCGCTATGTGAAGCATGTCCACTAATAGTGTGATGCAATTCCAGGCAATCGTCATATCGGATAGCATCAATGTGCCTCGGCAAGGTAAGGACACCGCAAGTCAGTAGGTGAAAGATAAGTAATATCTAACAACCACAGATTTGAACGCCTCAATGCGACGAATTGACCTCTTCTGCAAACTCCTAGCCCCAGTCTTCATCTCCCTAGTCGACAGTCTCTCAACTCGATACGCCATCTGGACAGTATTCGGCCTGAACACAGCCTCCGTGTTAATCGAGTACGTAGCAATCGCCCAAGTCTACCAAGCAGTGCCAGCTTTGAAAAGGCAGATTCCAGCCTCTCCCACCCAAGAGCCTGACGATATACAATATGGGAACCAAGACTCTAATCACACCAAGTCACCTGCTGGTATCCCCCAACTTATCCAATCCCAATCCCCCTGGAAAGAATATACAACCAGCCCAGTCTTCCTAGCCTCCTTCGCCTTAAGCCTCCTTTACCTAACCGTCCTCTCATTCGGCGCCACAATGGTGACATATCTACTGCACACGGGGTTCACCTCGTTGCAGGTTAGTTATATGCGCATTGGCTCTGTGGCTGCTGAGTTGTCTGGTACATGGACTGCACCAATGATCATGAACCGGATTGGTCCTATCCGGTCTGGATTGTGGTTCCTGAATTGGCAGTTCGTTTGTGTGGCAGCTGCGGCTGTTGCCTTTGTTGGTTGGGACTCGGATTCGAGGGTTGTTGCTGGGACTTTGATTGTTGGTGTTGCTATGAGTCGGGTTGGGCTTTGGGGATTTGATTTATCGGTTCAGTTTCTTGTGCAGGAGGTAAGTTTACCCCTTTGCCCCCTTTTGATACCCATGTTGATGTTGTGGTTGTGTTGATACTGATTACCTATCGCATTCGCAGAATATCGAGGAACATGCACGCGCTCGTTTCTCTGCTACGGAGATGGCGCTGCAGAATGTTTTCGAAATGCTTTCTTTCGCTTCCACTATTGCATTCCCGCTTCCTGGGCAATTTCGATACCCCGTGCTCATCAGTTCTGGAGCTGTGGCCGTAGCGGCTATTTGTTTTGCGGCGTATGTTCGCAAGGAACGGGGTCATCTATTGCACCGATCACGGTGTATGGGAGGGGACAAGGTTGTATATCGAGCACTTGAATCCGGGACGGTCTAAAGTAACTATTATGAAAATAATGTCCATGCAAGATACCTAGGTACATCTATTGAAAGAGAGAGTCATCGTCATAACATAACATCACATCGCGTAAAAAAACAGGACCGCTAGTCATAATGAGCACACCACGTAAGCCGAATAAAGATCATATATACAACTCGTGTCTCGAACAAACCGTTCAAATCACGATAAAGAAATCCGAAAACAACTCCCGCCTGACACACTTGGAGTCAGCCCATGTCCGTGAAGCATCCTGTCGCCGAGTCATCTCCTCCAGCAACAAGAGAACCTTATCAGCAGCCGGATGGCGCGTAAGCGTAGTAACGGGATCCGTAGCCTGAACAGAAGCCATACGATGCATCTCCTGAACGATCCACTGACGCTGATCACTGGTCCCTTCCAAGCCGGCAACAAACAACGGCCACATAAAACTAACAGGAAGGTGACCGGGTCCGGCAGAATCAACAGTAGCAAGCTGAATGATCTGGTCCACGGCACCGTTGACACGGTCTGTGCGTGGATAGATTGCAAATGCAACGCGGTGCAGGTAGATGAAGTTAGCCAGGAAACTGGCGATGTATTGTCGGAACGTGCGGCAGACTTCCATTGCGACTGGGGCGCATAGTGTATCGGCTAGGGCTTCGGGCCGTCCGTAGACATCTATTACTGCGGGCCGTTTGTGCCATAGTGTTTCGAGGTCTGCGCCTACTTTGTGTGCTATTTGGAGGACTTCGAATTCATCGCTGAGGGTTCCGCGGCTGCGGTGGTGGAGGTCGATGCAGACTATTCGTCGGACGATTTGTTGGGCTTGGACGAAGAATTGGAAGGCGGGGCCTACGATTGATTCATAGACGAGGTAGCTGGGGCTGCGGAATGGGTCTTCGTTGGTTTCGTCTTCTTTCGGGTCGTCGTTTGGGGTTGTGGTGCGTGGTGTAGGGAACGTTTGTGGCTCTATTGGCTTTCTTGAGATTCCGTGCTCTGGTAGATTTCCTAGCTCGGTTAGAGGGTCGCCCTCGCGACCTGCAATCAGGGATTTAACGTCCAGTAGAGAGACCCATGAGACTAGGAGGTGACCAAGGCCAGTCCATGTTAGAGTGCGATCATGGAAGCGCTGGAGGATGAGGTATCCAGACTTAAGAAAGGAGGTCCCAGCACATATCTCGTGGGATGAGAGAAGCTGAGATATATGTGAGTTAAAATGCTTCGAGTTCGAAGAAAGCAAATCATACCTCGGATAACATTAAGAGAAAAACAGTCGCATAGACCTTGACAAGGGTGTACTCGCCCACTTCACCAAGGAGACATGCCTGGATCTCCGAGCTGGAAACTCTGTAATACGTAGGCGCCCAGCGCCAGCGTTTCCCATCCACCATCGCTTTATGAATATCAGTGTAACAGTACACAGCATTCAAAAGCGGACCAAAGCTCCGCGCATGAGCCAACAACGCCGGCCGAACGTACTTCCACTCCATATTGAGCGGTCCAAACGGAGCAGCCGGCGGTCCAATGGCCAGGAAGTGCTGTATAAGCTGATCCTCATACGAAGTACCACCTGCATCAGACCAGCTCCCCCGCCGGGTGGCACTATCCGAACCACTTCCAATAGACGTCTCATCTAGCCCCGAAGAAGGCGCATCAGGACTGAGTGGGGTGTGACGGTCGATAAATTGGCCCTCCATATGCGGCAGCACACCAGGAAGCGACTGCGATGGACTAGCGGTGAAAGTAGCGTCGAGCCCAGTCGTCAAATCGAGGTGTTTTTGCTCCAGTTCCGATGTGATCCCGCCCATAAATCCAAGCATATCAAATTCGGAGGGGTAAGGATCCCCCGCGGGCAGATGTCGGAGTGTTGGTATTGAATGATCATCGGACCGGAGGACTGTGTTGAAGAAGTTGATGTCGGGTGAGCGCGATGCAGCTGCGACTGCTGGGCCGGGTGGGCTGGTTGGAACTGTCGGTGCAGGGTTCGGCGCATTGGAGCGAGACGGGGATGACCCCCACCCGAGCGCGATGGGGGGTTTATAGACGCATCGCAGTCGCAGTCGGTCGCAGTTCGAGCAGCTTGGTTTGGATTCGTCGCAGCGCACTTTGCGCGCTCTACATGTCATGCAGCCCGTTCGTCGGCGCGGTCCTGACCTGCCCGCTCCCCGGGCTTTTGGCACCTAATGCTGTTAGTTGGAGCTCGCTTGAGAGTGTTGATTTGTCTTACCTCCATGATGGAACAGGCCTATAGCCAGAGACAGACATGAAGCCCAGAAAAGTTGCATAGGAAGTGGCTGATTTCCCCGCAATGGGCGGTTGCGATTGTGGAGTTCGATGACGAGATTCTGTTCTTTTCTGTTTGGTCTCTTAGGGCTGTCACTATATTGCTTTGTTACAGTAAATATCCACGATCTGCATTTTCAATATACATGTATGCACAGACTTCAGGTACATGCGGCTCGGAAAGCCCTGATTCTGTATGACCTTTGAATATGGGGAAACATCCCCATATCAACATACAATACAGTACTTTGGGCTTTGTATACACGGAAATGTTATTTTGTCCAACCGGTATAGCGGAATCCTTCAAAATGAGAGAAAAACATACATATTGGAGTTCAAATTCATCCATTGTTTTACTATCTACTCGTTTCTACCGGTGTTTTGCGGTATACGGCTGAACGGCAAGTAGATAGGATTCTTTTACCCCGACCAGTAAAGAATATACCAACCTACCACTGTACATATTCTTGTCTGCGCAGTCAATGTAGAGTGCACCAAGGCGTACTTTGGACATATAAAAGTATTCATGTTGTGCTGTAAAAGCTGCTGTGAGATGCTCTTAGGCCGCTCCACCATCTAGGGTCAGGACTTTCCCATTGACCCATTCCGCCTCATCGGTAGCCAAGAAACAAACGACCCGGGCTATATCAATGGGATATCCATTGCGGGTCAGAGGGGACGCATGTGCGGCCATCTAGCATTACAGATGTTTGGTGAGCTCAGGTCTGGCCGAGGGTAAATATCCCGGGGTCTCTTACCTGTTGACGTTCTTCCGCCGAGTATTTCTCCCCATTGGGAATATAATGGTGAGAGACATCATGGAACATGTCAGTGACAGTTCCACCAGGGGCTACAGCATTGACTGTGATCTTTTTCTCTCCACAGTCTTTGGACAGGATGCGGACAAAGGAGTCAATCGCGCCTTTGGAGCCGGAGTAGACTGAGTGGCGTGGCACACTGAAATCCTTGGACGTGTTCGAAGACGTGAGGATGATGCGTCCGCCATTATTGAGATTTTTATACGCCTCCCGAGCGACAAAAAACTGCCCACGAGTGTTTAGACTGAAGACGCGGTCGAACTCTTCCTATGGTCATCGAATGGAGTTAGATGTCTATCGACATTTGTTGACATCATTCACGATAGATGCCCATTGTGAAACGCCAGGGACTCTAGGACAGGGACACGTACCTCTGTAACGTCAGCCAGATGTCCAAAGCTGACAACACCCGAGTTGCTACAAACGATATCAAGTCCCCCGAAATGGGCGACGGCGTCGGCCATGAGCTTTGCGGTTTGGGGGACTTGACGGACATCGGCCTTGAGAGCAACAGCATCAGAGCCAAGTCTCTTAATCTCATTCACGACTTTCTCTGCCGATTCAGCCGAGTTCGCATAGTTGACAACGACCCTTGCACCCAGACGGCCCAACTCGGTAGCTATGGCGGCACCTATGCCCCGGCCAGAACCAGTCACAAGAGCGACTTTGCCATGTAGGCTGTAGGGAACATGGTTGTTGGCCATTATTCTGTGTTTCTAAGGTAACTGAAGTCACTTGCTGTGGGCTTGTATAGCAAAAGAAAAAAAAAAGCAATGTTCGATTGTTGTCTGACTCTCTGATGTACAGTGCGTGCTGTTGTCTTTTTGAAGTATAACCTTAGCCCCAAGCCGCGGTGGAATAAATAACGCACCGAAAATTGCTTCAAAGCTGAAGTTGTCCACTTCTGTTCGCTTCATGGAGCTGCTTTAGAACAATTGTCCGAATTGCCCGAGTGAGCCTGAATCGGTGCTCGGGAAAAACGATCACTCCCGAGAAGTAAAATCAGTGAACACTTCCGAGGCCAACTACACAATTTAGATCACTGAAGTAAAAGACAAATAGCTAAGTACTATCAATATCTTCTTCTTCTTACACCAGGCGCTTTTTCCTTTGTGATTTGTGACACTCGGGTCTCTTACGCGACACTTCAGAATGACGCAACAGCCTCATTTTCAAGGTAGAATTGACGCTGCTTCCCTTATACGTCCACAAGGATACTAACAATGACCAGATGTTCTACAGTGTCAGGCTGCCTTGTACGAATGGGCTGAGAGTTATGACACAAAAGATTGGGATCGTCTCTCCAGGTGTATTGCACCTACTCTCCATGTAGGTCCACCCAAGTCCCCTTAGTTTATTCAGCGCTGATACTTCTACTCGGCTTTTGTAGATAGACTACAGTGCATTCCTCAACAAGGTTTGGGAGAGTATGCCGGCGCAAGAGTTTCTCGGCATGGCATCCAACGAGAGGTTTCTTGGTAACCTGCGCCTGAAGACTCAACACTTTGTCGGTGCCACGAAATGGATTCAGAATGGGGAAGACGAAATTACAGGCTACCACCAGATGAGGGTGGCGCATCAAAAATACGCAGACGATGGTCTCAAAGAGATAGCAGTCAAAGGTCATGCACATGGCAAGGCCACTATATGGTATCGCAAAGTTGACGGGGACTGGCGGTTTGCTGGGATCCAGCCAGACATCCGTTGGTCAGAATACGACCATGATAAAATTTGGGAGTGATATGAGGCTCGTATTTCTTACAATATGTCAATACAGATTCTTTCCGCCATATGCCATACCGCTAAGTAAAAGCTTTTCTGAGGTTACCACTCCCAGACCTGCGGTGGCCCATATATAATGCACTGGAAGGCAGTTTAAATATCTTGATTGAGACCGCAGCAATCAGAACGAAATTTTCTTTACTCAATGTTAAAGTTTCCAATTCTGCACGATCTATCTCCTAGGGCAGCCTAGAACACCTCGCTACGGTTGATAGCATGTGAATTACTCTACGACCGAAGGCGCCCAAGGACTCAATGCTTGTTTAAAATTTATGACATTAAATGAGCCATGTTATAGATTGAGAAAAGGTATGCCAAGTATCTAAACCTGAAGATCCGGACGCTGCCATGCCTCATTGAATCCCGCAAACCATACCCACTTGGCCTCCCACGGCAGACTTCTTGTCGTATCTAAGCAGATCCTGGCCAACTGAAGCCACATATCATCCTTCATGGGAAAGTAGTTGCTCCATTCTCCACCCTCGTAAATCCCTGTCTCATTCTCCCCATGCTTGAGCGCCCGAACAATCTTAGACACATGTCCATCGTCGCACTCCCTCCTAGCAGCGCTAAATACCTCTTGCCAAGACATTTCACTGCTGCCCGTGTAGCTAGAGATTGCTACATCGTTCAGCGGGGGACACCCTTCCGCCGCGTACCAAGCCAGGTCCAATCTCCCTTTCCATTCAACCAATCTTATCTTGTCTTCCAGTTTGATCCAGTCTTGGCGGATCAAGACAGTACAGAAAATGCTGCTATTGACGGCATGCATGATGAAAAAGTCGAGTTTTCTTTTCCGGTCTTCACGTAGCACGGAGCCCACGAGATACGCGCAGACACTAATCATCTCGGCAGTTCGTCTCTCAAGGTCCTCATAAACATGATCACAAATAAAGAACTGGGCGGCAATGTTGGCCAACGCTCCTCCAGCACGACCTATGACACCATTCTTCATCTTTCCCCCGAGGTCAGACCAGCGAGGCCCATTACGGATAGCCTCGTTGGCGCGCACCTCGGAGAGCAGTTCGATGAGTGGCTTTGGCTTCCCAGTCTGTTGCGCCTTGGTTTCATTGGCGAGAGCCTCTGCTTCGAAAAACAGGTCTTCGATATTCATCCTGTCGTGTGAGGCAGCTTGAGCAAGTGATTCGGCGATAATTGCTGGTTGCTCGAACTCCACTCCAAAGCCCAGGTGGATGAGAGGATGGTAAACACCCTCCAAAAGTTGCGCGAGCATTCGGTTCGCTAGCTTTGTGCGGGCAAAGAGATAATCTTGCAAGACTTGCTTCCATCCTTTGGCCGAAATTTGTCCTTCAAAAAACTCGAGAAAGGTGTGATACTGATGTATTTGACCGATCGCGTTGTAAAAGACCTCAGGGTCTCCCAGCTCTTTCAGCAAGACATGGTCAATTTCAGGGATCTCTCGCTGGATTGGAACAAGATCGTTAAACCGATCTTCAAGCTCCTCCGGTGTAGCGCCCAAGGAGAGGTTGGTGAGGAGACTATGTGCCATATGATTATGGAATGCCGGGTCCTGAAAAAAGATGTGGTACTTTTCATGGTTGATATCCAGAAGGGTGTTACACTTCTCTATCGAACCTGGGGCAATATCGGAAGCCTTGAAAATGCCCACAGATGTAGGAGAAAGTTGGATATTGGAAGTCATTGCAGACGATGTTGGATGAAGATATTGAAGGGTTACTTTTTGGATAGTCGAGCGTCACAATTTTGGAATCATTGAAGCGTAATATATCATTGCACTGTCGGCGCTATTGCGCATATCTCGGTCATTTACAGTCTGGAGCATGGGGCCATCGTTACATGATTGCCAGTCCGAACCCCGATTGCCGACATCTGCCTGCCCATTGGCAGTCCACGTAGCTTATACATGCTCATGCTCAATTAACATGAGAGCGATCATAGGGCGATCATAAGGAGTGAATTTCACGGATAGTTTCGGAGTGTACTCCCAAATGCTGCAGATTAAGCTTCATAATCTCGTACTAATATTTCACTGTTGAACTGTGGGGAACCTTCTGAGAGGGCTTACGCCCGCCGAATAAACAATTTTCATGGCAGGCGGCTTTTCCTGAGTCAATGTACCTTGGGTCTCCTCGACACGGAAAGTTTAATGTATTCGTGGATTAGGGGAGGGTTCACAACGCCGTTCTACTTTGTTTGACGGCAACTAAAATATGAAATATACTAGATAAAGTTGACTGCGCCAGTGTCAACAAGGGACGAGTTTTATTGAGTAGCACCGTCTTAGAGTGGAAGAAGAAATCTTTTCCTATTCTTAGATGTATAGAGAAAGCTAAATCTAACAATTGGGTCTAGCACTCTAGCACCCTAGCACTCAGTGACGAACGGCGAAGATGTTTCAAGCAGTATCATAAGCAGCCCTTCGGGCAGCAGCAATCTGTGCTTCTTCAAATATCTGCAGAGCGTCTTTGACCTGTTGCTGCTGGTCACAATCCCAGATCCAGTCCTCTCGCCCTTTCAGAAGCATGCGAAGCTCCGGTGCTTCCATTGACACCCCAGGCTCGTTGCCACTTATGAGACGACCAGTCTCAGCACTCGTGGTAACGACCTTTTGGCTTCGGAAGCGACGAACTGTATCATACGATTGTAAAGCCAACACAATGGTCTGGACCTGGCTGAACCTGTAAATAGTCTCCTGGGCGTTATTCAGGTACTTGCCCAACAATTGCTCGAGGACAAGCGCATCCTCGATTGCCTGACCAGCACCTGCTCCTTGAAATGGAGTTGACGCGTGGGCCGCATCACCCATTACCACCACCCGACCCTTGTAGTATGTTGGAGCGGGTGGCATTTCCCAGATTGACCAGCCCATCGCGGTGCCGTCGTCTGGAACCAGCTCCACTTGCTTTCGGACGTAGTCACCGTAGTTGGCGAAGGTCTTCTTGAGTCGCGCAGTGTCTACCGGTAGAACCCACGCATCACGCGGGACTGGGGCGTTGTTAAAGGTCGTGATCCCAAGGTAATATAGGCTTCTCTCGGACATCGGGAAACCAAACACCAGACCGTCTTTTCCACATCGGATGCCAAATTTCGACTTCACATCGCCCAATTTGGCCTCTGCTTGTTCCATTGGAACTGTCGCACGGTTGATAATGGCACCGGTGAAGAAAGCGCTGGCTGCTGGGTGGTCGCCAAGGATGTGCTTGCGAGTCACCGAGTGAATTCCATCAGCGCCAACAACAATATCGGCCATGGCAGTAGTGCCGTCTTTGAAATGAAGCGTGATTGGGTCCTCGTCGCCTTTTTCGTGAATTTCGACCAGGCGCTTCCCGAAGTGAGCTCGATGTGGCTCGACAAGCTTCACCAGCTCATCAAGGAAATGGGCTCGGTGGATTGTCGAGCCCTTGATCTCATGCTTGTACTCGACGACCTTCTCGTCTAAATCCGGTTCCTGTCCCTTGGTCACTGATACCCACGGGTAAAGGCCATTTGCGTCTGCATTTTCCGGATCAAAGGCAGCGCGTCGCTCGAATCCTTCATGGATACGCGGATCGATCAACTTCATTGCTCGCTGCGAATTGGGACCAAGGACGGCACCAGCGCCAAGTTCAGAAAACTTGGTTCCTGCCTCATAGACATGCGCGTTGATGTGTGGGTATTTTTGAAGACCAATTAGGAGACTTAGGCCGGCAAAGCCACTGCCTATGATGGCGACGTTCACGGACCTCGAGGGCGACGGCATGGTTAGGGAGCTTTGGCTGATGAAGGCGTAAAGGCTGGAGGTAATGCGCACAGGGAAGGATAAACTTGTGAGCTAAGTATATGAAGATATGAGCAAATAATGTATGATTCTAGGATGTCGGATAAGCAATTATACTCCAGCACAAGAAGAGATGCAATTTCCTTATTGCCCGATTTAGACACTCGGAATCGGAGTCCTACATTATATGACCCTACACAATTGTTTATGTGGACCGACTTCGGGAAATTAACAGCATATTCTAGCCCCGGGTTGCCAGTTGGCAATGACCGAAGACTGTAGAAATTTGTTGTATCATACCAATTAAAGGTTGAAATGTAATTCTAACCATTTGAAACGGGTGGATGTAGACTGCTTTTTGGTTGAATGGCTTAGACCTCAAATTCTAGTGAGAATGCCCCTGTTCAACCAAGTATTTTTGAAACCTGGGAAAGAACTCATGATAAAAAGCAGTATCTACCATCTCTTCCATCTTGCATATTTTCTGTCCATCCTCGGTAAATGTGAGAAAGACGGCATATTCGTTTGTCCACTTGAAATTCCCTTCTAAGGGGGTGTTGGCCTTCGAGGTGATATAGACAGCAGCCTTTCCCTTTGAAGCATCGTGTACCAGCTCGTGTACCTCCATCTAAAAGGGAATTAGCGGATTTTACTTTGGTGGAGCTATAGAAAGTTCGTATCACCGACTTCATAGTTCTTCAAAACTCCAATGAGCATTGGTAAGATTTGCTGCACCTCTGCCCGCGAGCGCGACGGCACTCCCAGGCTGAAAGGTAGGATCTGCTGCGTATTTTCTGCAGACCAGGTAGCCATCCACTCTTGGGCTGTGAATTTCTTCCATCCTGCGAGAAATTTCTGGAGCGTAGCCGCTTGAATGTGGGCCGGCGCAGGCATGCTAGGCTCTTGCTCAATCTGTTCTCCCTATCTCTGCTCTTTCTCCAATGGCACACTGTCCTTAAGGCAGCCCTATTTGCATCCAATATCTAACGCAAATCAGAAGGACTCTAGACTTATGCTGGAGCGGGCCTTTCGACTTCACAGTTGGGCTGCTTAAAACTCACTCCTAGCATGAGTTTGAGCAACGGAAGTTGAAAGTTGGAAATTGAAATGACGCTAGCTTTAGTTGCTAATTCAAAACTCGGATTTTGACGGTGCGTGTCCGGGGTTCGGCACAATACTGATATCAAAATAGCCCGAGTTGGATTTAGTGGATCTATTCCGTTTCATGAAGGCTTTCACTCGAGATAAAGCTTTGTATTATTTCCACGCATCTATGGGAATAGGTCTGCGCAATTACGCCGTTAATCGGCCTTACCGTCAGCTTATTTTTTGCATCGGATTCAAAATGTAAAGGTAAACACACCGAGCTTACAGGGTCTCGCAAACCCCCGATGAATGCCAAGAGCACCGACCATTCATGCAAATTACCCGACCATGAAATGCAACAATACCGAACTGCACCCTGGCTCTAGTGTCTAGTAATCTGCTCCTATCCTTATAATAGACTGACCTCGACCTCTGTTTGACCCTAGGACGCTGTGGCGTCCGACCCCCAGGTCATATGATCGTCAATTATAAGAATGGGTCTAATTGTCTACTGTTCTTTTTCCCAAGGAAAAGGTTCAAATCCGATAGATTTCGGCTTAAACACTAAAAATTTTAGTTTCTGTTTGCTTTTTTTTTTTTTTAAAAAAAAAGTAGAAATGAAATAGAGATAGGACATGAACTCCTTTTACTTTATTCTAGATCTCTAATTGATAAATGTGGGTGTAGTCATAGGAATGAGCTTGACAGAACGGGAATATTGCAGATGACAAATACAGTTTATGTCTACATACAGACGGCACAAATGCAGCGTTTTTTTCATGCCGCGGCCCATTCTGTGCCACCTGGTCCATAATCTCCTGTGTCTTTCATCAAGTTATCCAAGAAAGCCAAGTCGAGATCCTGAAATGGATCATCCTCAATTCTAGCTGCCGTCCCAGGGTATTCAAACTGCTGCATGGGATCATCTGAGAGAACCTCCGAAAGTAGCGGCGCAAAGAGGGCAGTTACGTCATTGTTGTTGCTGTTGCTGTTTATTTTCTTACGGTGATGATTGCTATGGGGATCTGGAAATATAGATGTTGCGAGAGAGTTCGGCTGTGCTTGCGTCTCTGCATCCGTCCCGGCTCGCATGACGACCGGGGATTGGCTCTGTCGGTAATTTGCCGGTGGCACATATTGTGCTTGGGAATTCATCCTGTCAGCGTGACTCACGCCCGCAGTTTTAACGACCCCGAAATACGGAATATATTCGTTTTTGCCAGGGATCGTCGTGTCACCGGGTTGTGATTCTTCAGTCTCGGGCCCTCGTACGCTTACGCTTTGGGCACTTTGGAGGTCACCTTCAGCTGCTTTGGCTTCGATGGCGAGCAACCGGCCCAGCAATTGAGCGCTTCGTGCACTCAAAGTATCGGAGTTCAGACGGTTGAGCTCCTCCATGTTTTCCTGTGCCTGCTCAATCATGGCACGGTCGCCCAAGTATTGGGCAGCGAGGAAATTGTCGACCGTTGGGGAGCGGTGGCTATCCAAATGAGCCAATAGCAGGGTCATGGCGGCCATTAGGGCGGTGAAATCGATGGTGCGGCAACTAAAAGCTACTTGGTTCCAGCGGCGCAGCATGATGAAGCGGGATAAGATCTCTCGAGAGGCGTTGACACAAGTGATTCGGGAGTAGTCGAATTTGCGCTCAACCGAGTCGCGAAGCATATAGGGAAGGTGAAGCTGGTTGAGAAGGTTGTAGTGAAATAATTGTTCTGACAGTCGCCGCATTTCCCAGAACAAAGCCTGTGAGTCTTTCGTCTGGCCACTGAGGTTCGGGACCAGCCACCACCGGCTTGGCAAGCTCCGGGCCGCTCGCTGCAGCTCCTTATCGATCTCCTGCGTCCAGGCGTAATCATAGCTGGCCGAGTCAGATTCGTTGCGCTCCAAAATTCGCGATGCGATGACACAGTGGATTCGTTCAAGACGACCGCTGGCCGAATCCTTGGCGAGCATTGTATCTGACGCCATACTCCGATCTGTGGTCCCCTGTGGCATACCGAGCATAAGACACAGTTGTCGATCGTAAAAGACAAGGCGGAACCACATGAACTGTGGGTACGCCTTGGTCTCCGGGTGGAGGACCGTGTACTGAGCCCGGTCCCCCGACCTATGAAAGCCCATGGACTGCGCGATAGTCATGGCTCGCCGCGCTGTCCTCCAGCTTCGTCGTAGATATCCGCAATTGGCTTGATACAGGCTCTCGAGCATAATACATTCTAGAAACTCAATGCTGCCCACGAAACTGTCATTTGTGGCCACCAAATTGATCGCTTTGTCCGCTAGTCGTTCGCGTATGACTTGTGGTGGCTCCGAGAGACTCCGAAGCTCTTCATGGAGATCTGGGTGCAGGTGCTGGAGGAAGCTCGCTAGATGCAGCATGTGACGTGCTATCAGAACCGGGTTGACGTTCTGATCCGGGATCTCGAGCAGGCGACTTTGCGACCGAAGGCCATGCCGATCGAGAATACCGTATGGGGTTGTTAGGATTTCATGGAATGGAATAGAATGGTGGCTACCACAGGCCTTGTAGATCCGGGCGGTATCTTGCCGCGAGGGCAAGGAATCGAAGAGAGTCCGAGACAATGCATTGGCTCCGGAAGCGCCGCCAACCTGGGCAGGGACTGAAGGTCTGTCGAGATTGAGATGGTCATGAAGATGTTCTTCCTCGGCCGGGGTATGAATGGGCCGATGAGATGCAGGAGACGCGTGATTTGAGGGACGTTTGTACGTCGAGGCCGGCGTTGGGATGCCGTGGTCCAGCGGCGGGCCATCTTCAGCCATTGTTTGGCCATTGTCGCCCGCAGCAAGAAATTGGTCAAGTTGAGTCTCCACTCGTCGCAGGCGATCCCGCAACTGGCGGTTGTCCAAAGGGGTGGACACTTTCTCCGGGAACTCCTGGCTCACGCATTTGGTCCAACGTCTATCACAGCCAACGCAGACTGCGTCATCGGGACTATCAAATACGCATTTCATCTTTCGTCGCTTGCATTCCCAGCAGCTGCGAGTTCCTCTTCGAAGTTTCTTACGTTTGGACGGGGGCACTGAATCCCAATCATCTAGGTCGAGGGCGGGATTCCTGCGAGCTTGTCCCATACGCTGAGCAGGGGTAGCGTCCATGATGGGTCTTGTCTATCTGGTAGCTTGCACGTTGATGCACACGAGTAGTTCGTATAGCCCGGCAAGCTATTGTGTCGCAGGCAAATGATTCAGATATATGGGTACAAAGGAATTATGTGATTCGAACACCTGGGCATGAGCACGATGGGGACGCAAGTCACAGGTTGTCTAGAGTCTTGGAGCTCCGGAGAGGCGGCGGAGCAGTGGTGTGTCATCCTTTGTGACCGTACCTTACGAAAGGCCCGGTAATATTCGAGCCAAAAGGGGCGCCAAGCCCACCTCAGGTCCTGTTCCAAAATTACAATACTCCGCCGTGATATCGGCGGAACGAATTCCTACTTGCACCATTCTTGATATTCGTCCGCCGCAATGGGGGTTGCGAGCTTAAGGGGGCTCAAGGGGGACTGTAGACATATAAACTGCTGTCCTCCAAGAAGCCTCAAAATGGCCTATAATTTCAGCATTCCTCTACGGTCACCAGACAATAACGTGCAATATGTCGGCACCCACTTCCGATTCAGAGTTCAGCAAGAACGAAGCAGGCCATTTGCCTGACGGTACCGGCCTCAGAAACAAGGAGCGAGGAAGCGATGATACTGAGGGGAGTGGTGACTTGAGCCAGGACCTGGACCAGGAATCGGATCCGGAGTACGCGACGTCCTTCCGCTTGATCATCATCATGGCCACTTTGAGTCTCAGTACCCTGATCGCAGCTTTGGACCTGGTCAGTATTATTCATGCATAGGGAATTGCGCATTTTAGGCATTGTACACAGTTAACACGATCAATTCGGTCCATAGGGTATCGTTGCCACGGCTATCCCGAAAATTACCAGCGACTTCCACGCACTCAGTGATATCGGATGGTACAGCGGTGCCTGTTTCCTTCTCGTTGGAACAACCTCCGCCCCGTGGGGTAAGATGTACAAATACTTCTCGGCTCAATGGACGTATATGACAGCACTTGCCTTGTACCTGATTGGAAGTATCGTGGCCGCCGCCGCACCTAACAGCATTGCACTGATCGTGGGTCGAGCTCTGCAGGGCTGGGGATGTGCGGGCACCCTCGGCGGCTCTGTTCTAATCATCAACTTCACGGCACAGCCTAAGACTCGCCCCATGCTCATCGGCCTATGGATGGGCGTCTTCATGATCGCCACGACCATTGGCCCCCTGATAGGCGGCGTGTTCACGACCGAGGTGACATGGAGATGGTGTTTCTGGGTGAATCTTCCGGTGGGGGGCACAGCTCTCGTACTGCAATTTCTCTTTTTGCGAATGCCGAAACACATTAAGCCCACCCCCGCGTCGTGGAAGGAGATTCTACTGCACCTTGATCTCCCCGGCTGGAGTTTGCTGTTCGCCTCGATCATCTGCTTCACGTTAGCTCTGCAATGGGGCGGCATGGAGAAACCATGGAGTAATGGCTCCGTCATTGCCACCTTGACCGTTTGGGTTGCCTTGACGATTGCATTTGTGGTCGTCGAGTGGTTTCAGGGCGAGTACGCTATCATGCCCCTTAAAATGCTGGCAGGCCGTATTACATGGTCCCATCTCTTATACGCGTTCATGTGAGTATGATTTATGCTTCCTTTTACCCAGAAGCCTTGTCTGCTTTGACATTTTGAGCTAATATGTGGTCTTGTTCTGAAGTGCCAACCTAGCCAACTTTCAGATACTGTTTTATCTTCCCATCTACTTCCAGGCCGTGCATGGCATGTCAGCTATCAAAAGTGGCGTATACTGTCTTCCGTTCATGGCTTTCTATACTTGTGGGGCTATAGTTAGCGGTATGATCGTTGGGAAGACCCGCTTCCTACAGCCCATCGAGTTTATTAGTGGGTTCATAGCCGTCCTTGGCGCCGCCCTGATCTACTGCATCGACGTGGACACCTCGAAGGCGTGGTACATCGGCGCTCAGATCCCCTTTGGGCTCGGAATCGGTCTAGGAAACCAGGTTCCGGTGACGGCGTTACAGGGTTTCGCGACGCCAGAAACCGTGGCAGCGACGATGGGAGTAGCTTTCAGTGAGTACTAACAAATCCTATTAGCATTGGTCCTCTCCGCTAATTTCCTCTCAGTGGCCCAATCTATCAGTGGGGCTTACTTTGTTTCGGCTGCGAATTCTATCTTCAACAACTACCTGCTGCAGACCTTGGCGAGAACTGCTCCTCAAATCGATTCGGCAGAGATCTTGTACATTGGAGTGTCAGAAGTTGCAAACGTATACAAAGGAGAGCAGCTGACTTTGGTTCGAGACGCATATATGGTTGGTATCAAAGATGTCTTTGCCTTCGCCCTGGCCGGTACTGCTCTCACCGTGGTCCTGGCCCTTTTAATCCCCTTCAAAAGACTTCCTTCTCATGAGACAAAAAAGGCCGAGGATAAGGAGGCAGCAGCCAAGGCCCCTTGAGCTATCATACATGCAAAATACATGAACTGCGAGCATATCGGGCGAAAAACCAACGGCAGATCAACTCACAGAATGTGGTCAAAGGGCCTACCAGGTGTGGTTCAGACACATAGATTAATAGTCAATTCATTTAGTGAATTAATGCTGGATACCTAGTGTATCAGCAATTTAGGTGATTTCCTATGTGCCTAGACATAGCATTGAACCTTGAAATTCCCCGAGTTCCGATCTTCCCTGCAGCGGGCCTTTGGTCGCCAGAAATTATATTAGCCCCATTTCCCTTTATCCTTGGGAATCCCGGGCTCTTGTATACTGATAAGATCAAATTTTCCCAAGTAACATCTACCTTTGAAACTAGCGCCTCCTATTGAATATTTTTCAACATTATGTCTGACTCAAACCATCTCACATACCTCCCTTATATCCTCGACGCTGCCACTTGTGCCATCGGCTCTCTCCTCATCTATTCGGGGGTGAAAGGAACATTTATCGACCCTCTTGCCTGTAAGTAGCCTTGTGCCGGTATTTCATGATCTGCCTGCGTCCAAAACTTTCAGCTTATGCATACACTTTTAACAGGGGCCAAGGGTTTCGGACTTCCTACAGCAACTCCAGAGAATGTAGTGCTTTTCCCTAGCGCGACAGGCCGAAACCTCGGCGCCGGCATTTTTGTCTGGGCCATGATTCTCCTTCGCGAGAGAAAGGTCTTGGGCATTTTCTTGATGTGCTGGTCTTGGGCAGGCGTCGCTGATACAAAGGTTCTGTACGCACATCCGAAGGGAACGAATCGAGCCATGCATATTAGGAACACTGTGCTCGTATTGGTCCTGGGACCTCTCTTGATCCAGTCATCTCGGTCCTGATTCCCATCTCCACCGACCGACGTAGGATCGTTTTGGAAAGATATGAGAAGGGGGCTGAGAACCGTTTGATCGTTGTGATTTTTTGCGGACAGGAACCCTCTAGAGATTTAGACAATGGATCCAACTCGATAATTTATCTCTCTCATTCTTGGATCACTCCTCCTATCATACGTTGGCCGTCATGCTGAGCCGCGGTATTCTGGCAGCAAGAGACTTACAAGTTTAGAGGCCAAGCAGCTTGATCGCAAAATGCCCAGGCTAATTAAGCTGAGCAGCTTGGGGAAAACAAAAAGGAGCTCTAAAAGACCGAAATGGGAAATAATTATGAAATATGGTTTAGCCGTAATTTGACAATAGTCCATGTTCCTCCACATGGAGATATATTAATCTAGACATGAGGTGAATCCTGCAGCCTCCGAGAAGGATTTGGCGTTACGCATTGGAGTACTGAAATCTGGAGTATTGAAACCATTATTTGAGAAGGGGGCATAAATTGCGTGCTTCGGACTTTAGGGATAAATATCTCAGACCAAAATGGCCCGAAAAGACAATCTAGCTGTAATACTCCTCCAACCAACTCCGTAAGTCTCCAATCGTGGGGTATTCGAGGAATAGACTTCCTCCGACTACTACCCCGAGGTCCGCCCGGAATTTTTCCGCAATCACCAAACTCATCAAGGAATCGATGCCTAGGTCCGAAAAGCTGGCGTCGTCGGTGAGATCCGCCAGGTCCTGTCCGGACTCCGAGGCGATAATGAGAAGCGCCTTGGCAGTCGTAGTATCCAAATTTACGCCAACAGGCTCTGCGCCGTTAGTGCTACCGATTTCTTTGACTGCGGGTGTGGCTTTCGTGCCGTTGATGCCGTTGACTCCGTGGACGACGGGTGGCTCTACCTTCGGGACGGAGGGCTTGGAAGAGGAAGAAGCCGTTGCCATAGGGGGCGCATTAGCGTCGTCGGGCGCAGAGAAAAAGCGGCTGAGCAAGATTCGCGGGTACCGGCGGAATTGCATACCACCGACCATGCCGATGATCACGTCGTCTTGGAGAATGTAGACATCGCCGAGATACACACTCGGGTCATCAGCGGTTGGGATCATCTTGACGTACGACCGGTACTTGCCGCCCGGCACGAGAGGTTTAGCAAAGCGCATCGAGCGCCAGCCTGGGGTGACACAGAAGTTGTTCGTTGTATCTCCGGCGTCCGTTACGTTCATGACAAAACCAGCCAGATGAGCGACGCTATCGATGAAATATGGAGGTACTGTCCAGCTGCCGCCTTTCTCGCTAGTGAGCTCGATGTCGGCAAACGCTTCATATTCATGTAGAACCACTGATTGCATTCCCCGATATTTATCGGCGTAGTTTACCAATCTGTTCGCGAAGAGAAGATAAGCCATGGCGTGATTAAAGCGGTTTGCGGCGCCGGATACCACGAGACGTTCAAGGTCTTCGATGCGGCTTCGAATAAGATGGGTTATAGGAACCCAAGAGGCAAGCCATTCCTCGGAATTTCCGTAGAGGACAGTCGCCGTAGCAAAAGGCTCACCTGCGGTATCGCCGGTCTGCACGTTATACCACGTCAACTCCGCTGTGTTGGTGTCAATACAACTAGTAGCCACGACTTGGATGAGCTGCTGTGATTCTGGATTTTTGTTGGCAACGAGTCCTTTGCGAACTTCCAAGTTGGTAATGTTCATATGGACTTCTTTAGCCTTCGGCCTAAGCTTCTTGGAAATATATTCACCTAGAGTGAAGGCAATATCGGCGTGGATAGACTGCATATGATATTAGCTTCGTTGGAAACGACAATCGTCAGAATTGCAGAGGACCTACCGATGTAACCACTCCACAGCCGTTCATTTCATGGCCCCAAGCAGCAGCGCGGAAGTCAGACTGCATTAGATCAGACTGTATGACAACTGTACCGGATGTCGCATCGAAAGTTTGATCGATAATGCGGTGGACGGTCGACGTGCTGAGACCGGACTTGGCTGGTAGGACGGGATGCAGACCCTTTTCTTTGTCGTAATAGGTATTGCCTTTGGTGAGGGACCAGTCTCCCTCGTATTGAATCCAGTAGCGCTTCTCATTCCATGCGTAGGTTGGGAGGTCCAATAGCCTCAGGTTCTTTTCAAACGGTCCATGGAACGCATTCCAATCGACCGTCACCCCGGCTAGATGAAGAGATGCCAGGCTTTGGGCTAAAGTGGTCCAGTTATCCTCACCCCGACGCAGTGATGAGACGACCAAATTAATGGGCGAGAGAGTGGACTTGACAAAGGCCACACTGACGGGATGGGGTCCAATTTCAATCCAAACAGTCTCATAATTGACGATGCCAATATTTTGTGCCGCTTCAAGAGCTGTTAAAAAGTTGACAGTCTCGCGAGTGGCTCGGCGCACGTAGTTACCATTGATACTCTTATTATCGAAGACCACCTTGCAGAGCAAAGGAGAGATGATGGGAATATTGGGGGTCTGGAAGACAATACCACTAGCGAGTGCTTCGAACTCGTCTAGAACCGGATCGGTCTGGGCAGAGTGGAATGCAAAGGCAACGTCCAAGCTGAAGCATTTATACCCCTCAGCCTCGAGGATAAGGATGATGGCATTCATATCTTGGATCGGACCGCTGAGGACCGTTTCCTTCGGGCCATTAATGCAGGCAATCTCATACGGTTCATCCTTGGCGCTCTCTTTGATTTGGGCAACCGAAGCTCGTACAGCCACCATCTTGTGATCACCCGCTTGACATTTCTGTTGAAGTAGCGCGGCTCGCTGGCCAACAAGGAAGATGGCATCGCTAGCTGAAAGAACTCCCGCGATATGCAAAGCTGCGTACTCCCCTAAGCTGTGCCCGATAACAACGTCAGGCCTCACACCTAAAGTGCCCCAGTACTTGGCCAGAGCAATTTCTGTACAGACCAACGCGAGTTGTGTTTGAACTTGCGAGTGCTGATAGTCTTTTTCATGACTTCCATCAATCACAGGAACAAAAGACGGGAATCCCTGGCCTTGGGCAATGATGTCCAAGTGTAGGATTTGAGACCGGAAGTAGGGCGATTGATGGAATAACTCGAAATTGGAGGACTTATACATTGCCCCCTGTCCGGTGAAAGCAAATGCTACCGGAGGCGCTCCGGTGGCTGGAATGGGCTTATGCGAATCCACTGATCCAAGGGCGGCATTCAGCTGTTTCTGGACCTGGGATATACTGGACGCAGCAATGGCCACACGGTGATTGTGGTGGTATCGGCGGGCGGTGGTGGAGTAGGAGAGATGAGCTAGGAAGGCCTCGGGGCTCTCCTCTAGATATGCAAGCATCTTTTCGATGTTCCCACGGAGAGAGACCTTGCTTTTAGCTGACACGGCAATTACGTGAGTAGATCGAGGGTCTGCTTCTGCGGCCTCCTGCCTCTCGGGGGCATCCTCCAGTAGAAGGCTGGTGTTACCTCCAGCCGCACTGAAGTTATTGACGGCAGCCATTCGCTTCTTCCCGGGAACTCTTGGCCAATCAGTCTTTTCATATGGGATGCGAACTTGTCGCTGGTCCAAATCTTTTGGGAAATTAGGGTTTAGCTTATTCTTTATACCAACGTGTGGTGGAATAGCATTCTTCTGCAGCATCAGGAGGACTTTCAACAGAGCCGTGATTCCGGCACTCGCTTCGCTATGGCCGACATTCGACTTGACTGCGCCGATATAGAGTGGGTTTTTGGAGCTGCGGCGCCTGATGTTAGGTGCATACACAGTAGTCACAGACTGGATTTCTTCGGCGTCCCCCGCCTGGGTACCAGTACCATGCATCTCGACGAAACTGACATCGAGGGGGTCCACGCCGGCTTGCCTGGCAACAAGCTTGCCGAGGTATGCTTGGTGGCCCGCGTGGGGATGGGTGATAGAGATCGCTTCGGCGGAATGATTTGTGGCTGCGCCTATGATAACCCCGAGAATGTTGTCGTTATCAGCCTCGGCATCCTCAAGACGCTTCATGACTACGGAGCCAACGGCATCCGCTCTGACATAGCCGTCCGCCTCACTGTCCCATGTCTTGCAAGCATTTGGTGTTTTGGATAGGAAGTGACCATGACTGAGACCGGCAAAGGCGTCCGAGTTAGTCAAGACATTTGTTCCACCAGCCACCGCAGTGTCTAGCTCACCGCTCCACAACGCGGTGCAAGCAGACTGTGAATGATCGTTAGCAAAGGTTTGTCTAGACGTTGATCACCCCGAGCTAGAACCTACCTGGATGGTTGCTAAACTGGAAGAGCATGCGGTATCAATGCTGTAACTCGGCCCAGAGAACTTGAAGAAATAATTAATTCGACCCGGACCAAATGCACGACATCCACCAGGAATAAAGTAAGTGCTGATATGCTGCCCTGTGTTGACTTCTCGGTAATCGTCAGATGCCTGGCCATAAAATGTCCCAATGCGACGTAAGTCCGTGGCGGCGGTCCTGTTTGCAGTATAACCAGCTCGTTCAAGTGCCTCGTATGCAGTGACAAGAGCAAGTCGCTGCATAGGGTCAGTTTGCTCTGCTTCACGGGGCGACATGTTGAAAAAGGCGGCGTCAAACAGCCCCGGCTCGTCGATGAAACAACCGTACGGTGTATGGCTGGTATTAACTCTCTTTCCGGCCGGGTCGTAGTGGGAATCAACATCGAACCGGTCGGATGGTATTTTCCTGTGAACATCTAAGCCCTTTTCGAGTAGATCCCAGAATTTTTCCGTGTCGTTTGCACCACTCGGCATCCTGCAGGACATACCGACGATAGCGATCTTCGATTGCTGGGGCCGAGATGGTCCGCCGTCGTCCTGACGGAGATGGTTGTGCACCCATGGCATGATCTCTTCGGTTGAAACCTCTAATTCAGGAGAGCTTTTCAATGCCTGAGAGAGATCGCGGATGGGAAGTGAAATTCGGAAAACGAACACTGTACACTGAGTTGCTCTCAGATTCCTGGCCAGTTGAGTCACTCCCTGGGTGACCTTATCCCATTGGATGGTCCGAGTGAGAATCTCTGAGATAATTTTCTCGAATAGTTCGATCGCATTTTCCGCAGGGAACGGTTGACCAGTGCTGGTGGAGTAGATGGGCAACCGTGGCGAGAAGCGAGAGTTCGCGAGCTTCATCGAGCCTGTGTGCACAATCTCTTTCACATTTTCTGGGGTGTAGATGTGCCTTGCATGGCACAGACCTCCGTATACCGGCAGGGGAATGCACTTGTGATTGTGGAAGAATTGGGCTGTACGGAACATGACCTTCAGTCTCGCTGGTGGGCCACTTATCGTTACCGATGTGGCGCTCAAAGCGCTGATAAAGATCTTGCCCGTCTCAGGGGCTCTCTGTATATCCTTTTAGAGCTTGAAAGGTCCAAGAATATATGTTCAGAACGCAACTGACCTCTTTAGCTTGAAGCAAGTCAAGCTCTTTTTGAACTTCATCGGCAGACACGTTGGCTATAACATAGGCCCAAGTATCTGGTGAGCTATCATCCGCCAAGTCAGGAGCCTCCAGGTTCTGGGAGACCTCGTTGACAAGAATGCCGAGCCGGAAGGCCTGTCGTACAACCTGAGCACCCGTGATCGAAATTTCCGCTACCGAAGAGGCCAAGGAGAGGGCAGCGGTAGCCAAAAGGCCTATCCCCAGGCCGGCCAAAGCTGTGTTAGCAGTGGCATTGTCGAAAGCATCGGGATAGGTCTCATAGTATCTGCTTTCCAGTCAGTATATCCACTTTTGGAAAGGATGTTATCTTCTTGTTGTATATCACTTACCCAATGAGGGTACCCACTTCGATGACACAGAGGAGGATGCCATCTATAGCCCCAGAAAGTTGGCCACTCCGCAGGTCGGCAAAATCCGCAAAGTTCAAAATCGTGTCGAAAGGAGGGACTAGCTTCCTTAGAGCTGTGGGCAGCTGTCGCACTTCTTCCCGAATAGCGATGGTGGCCTCCTCTAGAAACCGGGCAAGAGCTGGGTGTCTCCTATCCTTGCTGTGATTAAGAAGTTCTCGAAAGGTGGTTTGCAGGTCATCCTGGGGAAACTCATTACTGAAGTAGATAAGCTTCATCTTGCTGGAGAGAGTAGTGTGGTTTCTCATGATCAGTGGTTGAACTTGCTGAATCATGAAAGCATGTCCTGCACAATGGCAGATGTTAAGACGTTTTTATATCACAAGCCAGTCTAGTCTATGTCGGTCGGTGTCAGTAACGGAGCTAGCATATCTTACCCACCGTACGCTTTACCGATGACCGAAGGCTGGGGTCTCCGAAAGGTATGAGCCTAGCCTTTTTTTTCGGGGCATTTTAATTCAAGCTCAAAGCAGACCGAGCAGCCTTCAAGCCTTGGGCCTTATGAAAATCGAATTTTCTCCACAATGCCCTGGTCCTCACTGGAACAGGCTCAAATGGATCCCATTTATAGATTAGTGTGCCATCACGGCAGGTAACTTTGTGCCGCGGAGCCTTTTTCTTCGTGATATATAGCCTACGCTGGGGTGTAATTCTAGGAAGTCCGGAAGAACGTATCAACCAAGACAACGCGGTGAGATATGAGCACTCCGGTCTATTAATACTAGGCCTTGGCTGGTTTATCTTAGCTACGGTGGTTACAAAGAGTTCATCCGGGCTGAGAGAAGTGGCCAGGCCAAAGCGAGCTGAGTAGAGTCCAACCGATTCATTCGAATTTCTGAAAATCTTAACCGGGTTGTTGTAAATCTAGCCACCAGATAGCTGGTATTGTAACGCGGCGTCTCGGTACTGAATGTTGAACACGATTTTATGTGGAGTTCAAAGCTATTTAGAGATATGACCATCCATATCCCATGAAGGCATGATAGTGGTGAATCTAGAGATATACTCAGGCATACGTGGAATAAGAGATGGTATTTCTTTCAATGCATCTCCACTTTCTGAATATAAAGGTAGCAAGAACGTATGTATCTAGTTCGTGGAGCTATTTGTAACAGTGTTAGAAGCCGTTCACAATCTCACCGTCTCGAATGTACTCTTCGACCCAGCCGATTGTCATCCTGCAAGGAGTTAGTAAATTAGGAAATTCCTTTTGGCAGTAAATAAAAGAAGATGCACATACATGCTTTTCTTTGTATCAGCAAACTTCTCATGGTCCCCAGCCAGATGCTCCTTGTACCACGGATCTTGCTTCATGCGCTTGTAGTCATCGACACTCTTGAAAAATACCTGACTAAAACAGTCAAAGTCAGCCACATTGACCATCTGGTGATCAAAAAGCTGTGTCATCATAGCCCTTGTTGCAGTTTGGTTGTGAATCTATTTTGTTTTGCCAGTTAGCCAAGAAGAAGCGGACATAATCACGGATTGAACAGCGCACCTGGGTCCACCGTATGACATTGTACTTGACCATGAGTCCCTTTGTCATCGGCGCGGAAATGTTGACCATATGATTACGGTAATCCTTTTCACTCATACCAGGTTTGCGGTAACCACAAATTGTCAGGCAGAGATACTTGTTCTCCGTCGACCCTGTCTGCTCCGGAATCTCAGGGTTGTCAGGATATGCCATTGTTCACGCCGCTAGATCGAACACTTCAATTTGAAAAAGATCAGTATAGATTTAATCTGTGAACAGCGTCATCACAGGAGGAGGAGGAAGAAGAAGAAGAAGAAGAAGAAGAAGAAGAAGAAGAAGGGAGTAGTGGCATTCGGATAGATGTAATAGCCCGAGAATAACTATTCCTTTCACGTATCCGAATGGGCCAGGGCTCATAGATCGGGACTTTCAAAGTTATAATTCAACGCACGGAATTTGTTCCTGAAAAAAAAAAAAAGAAAAAGGGAAAAATAAGATCAAGGACTCTACAATCTTCGAGCAAGAATGCCGTTTCCAACCGATTCGGCGCCAAAAGTTGGACCGCAGGCAACTGCTGTGATCGGTGGCTCTTTTCTCACAGGCGAGTACTCAACCCGTTGCTCTTTGTAGCGACGATAACAGCTGGAATATGTATTGATGTGGCATTGTAGGCGCCATGGTCTGCCTGTCGGGTGTAGTAATTCCTGTCTTTCTTGACACAGACACGGATTCCGCCCACCTCCTTCGTCAATGGGTTCGCGTCTACCATTACGGCCATATCTACATGCCAGCTTTGTGCGTCGGCACATTTGGTCTCTATCAGTATACCGCGCTACAGAACTATCGCAATAATGGGAATTGGCTACTTTACGCCGTGGCTGGGGTAACAACGATCGCTATGGTGCCGTTCACGTGGGTTTTCATGGCGCCCACAAACAATGTTCTTTTTGGGTTGGATAAATCGGCAACAGAATCAATGGCAGTGGAAACCCTGATTTCCGTGCAGGACATTATTGTGAAATGGTCATGGTTGCATATCGTCCGCTCCCTTTTTCCGCTTGTCGGTGTCCTGCTTGGCTTTCGAGGGATTTTGCGGGAGCTCGGTCTATAAAGAAACTAGGGGGATGTATAAGCATTTCTGGAGGTAAAGGCTTTTCTGGATCTCGACTTCCGCAATCACACTCGGAAGGATTCTTATCCCTGCAAGTTTCCGTTTTGTAAGTAATGCTCGTGCCCTGCTCGGTCTCTTTTGTGCGGGCCATTTGGACATTAACGGACCGCCGACATTCAAGTCATCACTGTATAGATTAAAAGTAGACACAAAGGCCATCAACGGATCACTCATTTTAAAAAAGGCAATTTTTGATAGGAGCATTTGAGAATATTACCTTTTTCTCATCCCTTGTCATCATTCACTGCGACCCTTCCGAATCTCTTCCTAGTAGATTGAAATCTGTCACCATGAGCCACAACGGAACAATTTTCAAGCAAGACAAGACTTTCTGGAATGATTACCTGAAAGGTCGACCCCAGCCACCCGAGTCTTTCTTCACACGTATTTTCAACTACCATCGGGCTCACGGCGGAATTTTTGGCAGCGTTCACGACGTCGGCGCCGGCAATGGTCCATATTCCGAGACCCTACGCTCCAGATTTGGACATGTCATCGTATCGGATATCGTGGCCAAAAACATCGAATTGGCTCAGGATCGCCTCGGCACCGAGGGATTCAGCTACCGCGTCGCCAAGTTGGAGAACGCTGATGATATCCCCGCCGAAAGCGTGGACATGGTCTTTGCAACGAATGTAATGCATTTCCCTGACCAGGAGGTGGGAATGTCCGCCGTAGTGCGGCAGCTGAAACCTGGCGGCACCTTTGCTTGTGCAACCTTTGGACCGGCTCGATTTGAGAATCCGCAGCTACAGGATTTGTGGCAGCGTATAAGCTACCAGGGTGGCCGGATGCTTCTCAAAAAGTCAGAGGACCCCATGCAGGTCATTGGTGTTATGGCCAGGACACAGGACAATGCCAATATTGCTCCTCTGGATACACGCTTTTTCGCACCGGGGGTGAAGCGCGTGCACCTGAACATGGCTAACGGAGGAATTGTTGGAATCTTGCCACCTGAGTATGCGCATCTAAACACCGAGAGAGATCATACAGGAGCTGATGATGAGATCTTGTTTGAGGACGCACCGGAGTGGAGCTTTGAAAAAGATCTAGATGGCGTCAAAGAGCACATTTGCTCGTTTCCATTTGTTTCCGATAATCTGGCCGGTTTTACAGACCTCTTTGTGGAGCTGGACGATCTGCTGGGAGATGGGAGAATAGTTAGAGGTCATTGGCCTGTGAAGATCGTACTAGCAACCAAACGTTGAGATAAAAAGTCTTAGTTCTTTTAGATCTTGGACTCTCTGACTGTTTGCAAACATTCAATATCTACATTACGATAGTTTTATGGCACTATTGGAAGTCTCAAAGCAGCTACTTCTCGTCAAAACATGTATTGTCTTTGTCTAAGAGTGAGTAACGAAGAGGAGCGAGCCCACCGACAACTTTGCTAAAACTTGAAACAAATCTTCCACTCGTTCTGTGGTAATCTACAGTTGTTCATATGAAATATAATTACAAGCACCTGCTTTCTTGACTTGTATCAGCCGTCGCACCCTGTAGTGATGATACCATAAAAGAGCAGGCGGGATGCCGACTAAAGTGATTTTGGAACATCGAAGCATGTTGGGGGACTTGCCTCACTGTTGTTGCCAGTAGGTTTGAGCACGCAACTAGGCGAATCGGGACATTACCGCGAATACAAAATCAATATGCCGGTTTTAGAATTGACCGTGACCACCGGAAACTGATAAACTAGGGTAGTGAGAGTTTCTGACAGTAGTATTTTATTCGACCGAGAATCATGTCTAAGAACCCTCACTGCTGTGCAGGTTCTTTGCTAGTACCTGAATATTTACCACGGACGTTTATTGTGAACATCGGTGCCCGAGAGACTCTGCAAGTGCCATCCTGATCTATGGATCTTCTATTCTATATTAGCTGACCACTTTTTGAGGCTTCCCAGTCGAATTACGAATCTTGGACGTGACGACTTTCCACCAAATGACCACTTACGCGGTCTTAGGTTCCACTGGGAACTGTGGTACTGCAATTATTCAAAATCTCCTCCAGCGCCCCGACGCCAACATTAAGGCCTATTGCCGCAGTAGGGCCAAGCTGGTGCGTCTCCTCCCTGAGGTCGAGGACAACAAGCGGGTGGAAATCTTGGAAGGCAGTATCCAAGATCAGGAGGTCCTTTCAGCCTGTCTCCGGGACTGCCGTGCTGCCTTCCTCGTTGTTTCGACAAATAACAACCTTCCGGGATGTCGACTCGCCCAAGAAACGGCTATGAACGTCATTCGGTCACTCCGGAATATCAAGCAAGCTCCCAAGCTGATCCTTCTTTCGTCGGCTACAATTGACGACCACTTTTCTCGCCACATCCCTTTCATCTTAAGGCAGATCCTGCTTCGCTCTGCCTCGTATGTCTACAACGATCTAGTGGAGACCGAGAAGCTTCTGAGAGCAGAGAGTCATTGGTTGACCACCATATACATGAAGCCTGGTGCTTTATCGGTGGACAAGCAGCGAGGCCATGCTTTGAGTCTGACGGAGGAGGGAAGCCCGCTTTCATACCTCGATCTGGCCGCGGCCATGGTGGAAGCGGTTGACGATCCGGACGGCCGCTACGATACGCAAAATGTTAGTGTGGTGAATACAAGTGGGCCGGCAAAATTCCCAACTGGAACTCCAATGTGTATTCTTATGGGGCTTATCAGTCATTTTTTCCCCTTTTTGCATGGGTATCTGCCATCGACCGGTCCTGGTTGAGATTTCTGCCTTCCCAGGTTCAAGATAGCTCGGAGATGATAATCAAGTCTAGTTAAGGACTTTCGGAATAACTTAGAAGAATATATAACCATTTGGGTACAATCCGTACAGTCCTTGGGGCTTTCGGGCTTAACGTCCGGTGCTCAACAAACTAAAGACAATTCTTTAGGGCCATACTAAACGGACCCCAAAACTTGCTAGATGGACCCGCCAAAAATGGCTAGACTATAGTCAGTAAGGCTAAGTAATTGTGATACACCTATTATAAGCACTATCAGGCACTGCTAATGCACTGGAAGTAAGAGACGTCTAAAGTACCCACATTTACTACAAAAAGACTGATAAACTGAAGTCAATTTTTGGTATATTGTTTATATCTGGCGTTTGCATGTCATTTCCAATTCCTTTTTATTTAGGAAGCGTCGGAGAGCTCTATAAATAGCTAGCCCTAAGCAGCTTACCCAATTTTCCTTACTTTTCAGAAGCAATATTGCGAGATTTCGACGTAAAATAGCGAGCTGGCTACTCCATAAGCCAATTCCTCCATTTTTACATGGGTTTTCAAAAACAGTGGTACATTTTCTATATGAGACTTACAGAACTAGCTAGTACTTCGAATTGGAGAGGAATTGAAAGTGACTAGCAAATACTTGAGAAGTGAGTAATGTACCAAAAAGTGACTTTATTTTACTAAAGGTATACTCGAATATATAGGTACCTTGGATGTCTCTTTGTGGTGCTAAAAATAGACCTAATGATGCTCATAATACTGGGTGAATCACAGTTAATACGCCTTACTGACGATGGCCTCGCCATTCTTGGTGGGGGTTCATCTAGCAAGTTTTGGGTCTATTTAGTATGGCCCATTCTTTATCACTGTATTTGGCTTCCTAACGATAAGTTATTCAATTGGACCTTTTCTTCAACTATATTGATATTCAATGGAACGAGGCCACATGGTTCTGATTAGGGCTATACTCATGGAGCACTACGACCAATCGCCATCCAGCAAGTCTTCCACGCGTTTCCCTTCGGCAATTTGCTGATGGATATCTTCAATTGTCCAGGGTACAAATTGGTGTCCTGAGGGGAAATTGGTGTTTTGGAATTCTGAGCCAACTACCAAATGCGCAAAGGCTTGTCCGTATTTTTCGTACGCATAAGCCTCAGGATCATGCCGAAACATCCATTTGGGGAATCGCAGGCGGACTTGCTTTGGGTCCTTCTGAATGGCATCCCAATCTGTGGTAGAAGCATTCAGAAGCTGCGAGTTGACGAATGCCATCTTCTGCGTGCAGCTAACGCGTTGGTACCGCAGCAGATTGTAGATCCTTGCACCCAAGGGGGCACCGGCGCCGCCGCCCGCGGAAGTGGCGAGTTGCAGGCACGAGGCAAGCGTAATAGCATCCTCGATGGCCAAAGTGGCCCCAGCGGCGGAGGCAGGCACACTAGAATGAGCGGCATCCCCCAATTGCACAACACGCCCGCCGGCGGATGTCCATTCGGGGCGCAGATTGCGCCAGAGCAGCGGCCAGTGAATGATGGTGCCTCGGGGTGCCCGGCGCACCAGGACCTCGATAGCCGGGTCCCAGTCGGGTACTCGTTGCAGAACCTTAATGACATCCTCCGGGTTCACGTCGGGGTCCCAAGATTCCACTGGTGGGGTGCTGCCCTCCAACAAGAAGCTATCCCGCGGCGTAAGCCCAAAAGCCACCAGCTCGGGCGAAATGAAGACGCCCATATGCATTCCCGGTCCGAGCCAGTACTCCTTTGTGGAAACACCGCTGGGCCAGCGCTTCTGCACCACCTCGTCTTCCAGGGTCAGCTCACGCGGGTAGACACTACGGTACACCGACATGCCGCTAGGCCGCGTGGGCATATGCTCGCCGGCAACGAGCAGTTCGGAACGCGACCGGAAAGCGTCAGCTGCGACCACGAGATGCGCAACCCTGACTGAGCCGTCGTCCAGCACCACGCCACCAAGGTCGGCGGCTTCGTCTTCGAAATAGTGATCCACTCGCCGGCCATAGTCCACCCGGAGACCGATCTTGGCCACTTGGCGCAGGAGCATTTGGAAGAACTTCTTGCGGATCTGAACTGGTCCCACGAACGGATAACCGTCCCGTTCGATAAGATGTTCGGGGTCGTTGTAGCTGGGGGCAGAGGGTCCGTAGATGATCTCGCCATTGTGCCTCACGTAGTAGCTGGCCGCGTCAACTTTGTCTTCCTCCAGCTCGCGGAACATGTCCGGCCAGTGACGCATCACGGCAACTGCCGAGGGCTGGATGATGATCAGGTCCCCTATGCAACTATCAACATGAGGCCATCTTAACTGTAAGGGTGTAACCAACCGCTGTAATTGGGACCCTGGCTTCGTTCGAGGATCCCAACCACATTATGCCCCTTTCTCCAACACTCCAGAGCTGTCATTAATCCGCCAAATCCCGCACCAACGATCAGCACGTTGACATGTGTCTCTGGGGCACGTTTGGGAAGTGAATTCGGGATGCTTGCCCACTTCTCCGGGTCATACTCATGCGGATCACCAGCGACGATGAATTGGTGTTGCGACATTTTGTACTCTATTTCCGTCTCTGAAACTGCAAGCAGATAATCTATTTTAGCGGAGCATATAGTCTTGTCAATAACAGACGTTAAAAGGAACATTTTGACGCCTTCGTAAGCAGCTGCTCTTCCAAAATAGCCGAAATATCGGGAACATGGACAATGGGCCGAGAGTTTTCACTGGGGCACAAGCACGTATCGGGACTTTTGGCGCTTGGTGCCAAGATAGATCTTACAACACGGTGAATTAATATGTCGCTTGCCCTTTAGGGCTACAAAGACCTCCTGGCTTTCACCTGTATCAAATATCCATGACCAGCCTGCGTCATCGGCATATTTCGTGTTCGATGCCATATGCGGAAAATGGGACAGTTAGCCCAGTGAGCAGCGATGGCAACTTGGGAGAATTGATCAAGTAGCAGGTGTATGTTGTAGGAGTCCGAGTGGTAATAGCCACCCTACACATAGCGATTCCTTCTAATCGCTCGGGGTGAATACTGTTTTACTATGGCGTGATAGGAAAAACATCATTCATGATAGCTGGGATCTTTACTAAGCGACTTGGCGCCCCTGTTCGGATTCGTGCATTTAATAGAGCGTCGCAATCACCATCCTGCGGGCGAGAGCCCTGCAGCACTGCCCTCGGGGCCGAGACGATCTGAGGTACCATTCAACCCCATCGGCTAAAGTATATTATGCATAGGCGACACATTTCTTATCCACTCTGGGCTATTTATTGTTTGAAAGTACTAAAATATTAGTCTTATGGTTGTATTCAAGTTACTCTCCACTCGGCCAAGGAGTACACCAAAACAACGGAACGACTTATTAGAGATGAGGCTCGGATTCTGGCATCAAATCACAACGTTTTCTACTTTCAAGAACAAAAGACGCGATGACAATTCTGGCGGAGCTCGAGTCCCAAAGCAAGGAGCTTTCCTCTGCAATTGAGAATCTGGTAACAAATTGCCAGAGAGCACAACTTTATTCCGATTTTACAGTACTTGGGAGGCGACCACAGATTATTTCACACGAAGCTCCAGCAGAGATCCATCGAGCTCGAGAGTCGGTTTTGGCGATTCTAAACAGACTCCAAATCATGCTGGCTGGCCCAACCGACTTCTTGAGGCAACTGGCCACTCAGGTTAGCAGACAACTTCCTCTTCGCCCTTCCCCGCCTGTCATCCTTTCAAGGCGTCTCCAGGAAGCACGAGCAGCTAGCTGATCGAGCTGTAATAGAGCCAAGTCCTCGCCTGTGTGCAATGGCTGGGAGAATTTCAAGTGCCCGCGTGCATTCCGCTGGACGGCAGTGCTATGATTAAAGACGTATCGGATCTCATAGACATACCCGAGAGTCAGCTCGCTCGAGTGATACGAATGGTGGTGACGGCCGGGTTTTTGCAAGAGCCTCAGCCAGGCTACGTAGCCCACAGCACTCTATCAGCGTCATTTGTCATTCAGCCATCTTACCTGGATGCCACCATGTTCCTAGCTGAACGAGTGACTCCAGCCGCGTTGGGGATGGCAGTAGCGACGAAGCGGTGCTCAACGTCATCCAAGGAATTGACTCCGGATACCCATATTATCGGCTCTAATGCACCTAATGGGATTGCCTTTGCCGGGCCAAAAGAGGCCCGGCTGCCCCGACTGCAGCGTCAATGGCATGCATATCTCCGACATGGGACGGGACATCTGTGCGATACAGTGACGGACGTTCTAACCTGTCTCGAGCCCTTTCGGATGGCCAATGCAACAGTTGTAGAGGTAGTCCTTCTCATTGTCATCATGATCCCCGTGTCTTATTTCTAACTAATGCTTTTACACATGCAGGTCGGGGCGCGATCCACCGAGCGAGCGGTCGCCCTTGCCAGTCAATATCCTACACTGTGCTTCACGGTTCAAGTGAACCAGATAGGTGACTCGCCCTTGACTGGAAAAGAGAGTCTACCTGCATTCCTCGATAAGACACGACAAGTGCGTCCGACTCCACGCGTGACCGTCCAGCAGCGGGTCCTCGGCTCCCAGCAACTCGTTTTCGACGCCGCAATCTACATCGTCAATTTACCCTTGCCAATACCGGGAATGAAATCCTCCTCCTTGGCGACGCAAACGAGTGCCGAGCTCAAGGCACACCTGGATGTACTTCGAATGAATCGGCTAGCCACCATGGTTCTCGTCGCACCTTATCTATCAGAGAGCGACAATGAAAGCATGGAAGCGGAGGCCCTGATGCGGATTCGAGACCTGTCTTTATTGCAATTGCTAAATGATCAGGAGCTAGGGATCTCGAAGTTGGTCAATCTAGTGAGCGGTGTGAGTGACGGCGAGGGGAGACTAGTCTTGGTGAATCGGGTCAAGTCGCCAGGGAAGCATGGTACCGTTGCGTTGGAGATCAAGTATCAGGCATATACGGACCATGAATAAAAGCATGCAAATTGCCTATAAGGATGTCGGGCCTATGCATATACTACCTCAGATAGTAAGATTACGGTCCTATTTTTATATTCTTATGAAATAGGAAGTTGTTGTGTTATCACGTTCTGAGATATTGACTTCACTATACTATTCTGACTGCGGCGTTCGCATACGAGGCTCGCTTACTGGATACGGTATTAAGTTACCTAAAAGTATACATGTGAGACCTCGGAATATTCAGCGGGAGGCGCGGGGCCCCCCGCGCCTCCCGGTGTTGGTGGGGTTTAGCGGGCTTTGGCATGGCCTAATTCCAAGTTCGACGAGCCTAGAACTACAGCATGTTAGCCCTAGGAGGTAATCTATCAATTAATACCTAAGATAAGAAGTAAGCGGCTTCTGAGTGGCAGTGAAGAATGTAACCCCTCTCTATACGATTCCTCGGCATGCAGGTAAGGTGAACTGGCAGCATACGCAATCCAGATTATAAAGCATGCATTAGCGATCTGCATCACGGATACTCATCTAGTCTCTGGACCGTAAAAGTAATGACCAATCTCTCAAGACTTCAATTTAGTTTGTCTATCCACAATTAATCGCTATCGCTCCAAAATTTTGCTCATATTACTCAACCACTGCAACTCAAACCCCGCCAACTCCTTGGCTACATGTTGAAGATTTGACTCCGGGATATCCCGGATTAATCTGCCACAATGTAATCTTCAGAGCCTCAGAGGGATCTACTTGCTCTACTTGCTACTTGCTCTTCAGTCTAGCGGGAACCCAAGCTCACGTATCTGTCTTTCTCATATCGTAGTGTCGGGGCCATGATACACCAAAAGTACGATGAATGAGTATTCCAGCTCCATGGCTGACGGCCCGCTTCCTGATAGCTGTGATTTTGGGGGCGAAGGAGTAACCTAACAAGGAAGACGCTCCTTTTCCGTATCAGGCTCGCTCAGGTCTCCGTATAGGCCCCAAACGACGCAATCCTTGCTAGCGCAATCAAAAGCCTCAGGAAACTCTGAGTTTGCTTATTGACCAAAGCTCCCATTTTCGAGCCCTCAAATGCCGCAGTCCGCCGTTTGCCTCAGATGATGTGTGCCTTCATCCGGAGACTTGTTAGACCAGGATTGAGAAATGGACACAACACGATCCCCACACGCTCCTAGTCGCACTAGCGTTGAATCGCCCGGTCTCAAATTGCGGGAGAGTTGCAACCGCTGTGCCGCATCGAAGATCAAATGCAGCAAGGAAAAGCCGACCTGCGCTCGCTGCACAAAACAAGGCAGACCATGTGAATACTTTGCTACCAAACGTGCAGGACGCAAGCCCGGGAGCCGAGTATCCCAACCCATCCCAGTGACCCGAGATCAGAATATACCCGCTACGATACCAACGACCACGGCAGCAGTGACGGTGACGGCGGCGGCTCCCATTTCGACAATCGATCTATCAGAGCCGGAGATGATGCAGCTGTCACCCGTATCACCGCCGGGGGCCTTTCCAGACATCTTTTCGGGACCTTCGTCCTTAGATGATCCCTTGGGAGATCAGACAATCTCGACTCCAGCCACCTTGGATTTCAATTTCACCGATTTTTCCACCTCCGACGTCGCGTTTTCAATGCTGGACCTACCCGATGCAATTGATCTAACAGACTCGTCCTACTTTCATCATTTGGGCGGAGCGAACAATTTATCCGACTGTGGTCGAGCTACCACGTTACCTCCGCAATTGTCCGCCGTTGACGCGGCGGTCGCTCCAAATGTTGCTCCGCCGCAAAATCCGACGGACATTCGACCTGCTTCGGCCGACGGGCATAGCTCAGGGCAGATTTGCAGCTTTGCTCGCGCCCTGACCCTTCTCAAAGATACTCCTTCATCCGCCTCATGCACTTGGTTAAATCAAATGCCGGTGGAAAGTCATGCCGGACTCCACCCCGTGCGGACCATCCAATCCGTCATGACAGAAAATGAGCAGACAGTCCAGGTGATTAGCGATATCTTACAAGAGAAACCTGTGGAAGATGGGTATCTACTGGCGGTACTATCCGTGATCATTTTGAAAGTGCTGGCTCGGTATGCTGCGGTGTTACGACAAATACCGGGACTAGGTGGCGACGCTTCCGAATGGAATTCTCCAGACTCAGGACAGATGGAATTGCTGGAGGACATCTCCTGCACTTATCGCGAGACCCTAAGCCGAAAGGTCGCGCAGCAGGTTTTTGGCCAGCTCCACCGCGTGCAGCGATTGGTCAACATCCTCTCCCAATGCTTCCAAGCCGACGGCGGACGTGCGGAACCCCAGAATCTCACCAGCACAGGCGTTTCGGATAATATATTGTGCATGGAAAGTTTGTTCCCTTTTTCTCATTGTATGTTGGAGCAGTTTGAGAATGATTTACGCAAGCGTCTCCGTGCCCTCTCCGCGGATATTGTGGGCAGGCTTCGCTGAGGATAAATAATGACCATTTTATGCTGTCTACGCCTTTCATTGTTTATGACGAGTGGTAGAGTGTTTCATCTTTCTGGGTCTAGATAGTTATGTTCTAGTTGACTTCTCAGAAAAGCAATGCGGATTCTACAGTGAAATCCTAAACTTTTTACGAAGATTGCTCCATAATATATGAGTATGGAGCTAATTTGATGCGGACTATTATGATGTTTGTCTGGTGTATGGAGAGAATTAAGTTTTTCCAGTCTCAAGCCATTCGAGACGCATGCAATCAACCCAAATAATTCACCCAATACTGTCAAATACTACCGACAGAAGCGGAAGGGCCCGTTCTCTAGCTCGTAATTGTCGACCTTGCTCTTTGAGCTACCGCAAGAGGCCCGCCGTTGTCCTCTAGATATTGGGCAAACTTAGGCCCAAAGTCCTGCAGGAAAACCGAATCCAGCATCTCTTCCAGGACCGCTACCTTGTCACCCGCTTCCGAGAATGTGATAAACACTGCGTACTCCAGCTGCCAGGGGCCCCACGGAAGGGCCCCCTTTGACAAGGCGTACACTGCGGCTTTGTTTCTATCGGAATCATGTATGACATGGTGGACTGTGAGCTTTGTTTGGTCAAGGTCCAATCAGCGTACACCCGGGTTTGCGATGACAGTCGTACCTCTTACCTCGTATGAACTGACTGTGGCAATCAGAGCTGGAAGAATGTGGTCGACTTGCGTCCGCGTTCTGGTGGTAACGCCAAGCTGAAATGGGAGAGTGACTTGCGTGAAGTCGTCGGAGAAAGTAGACATCCATTCCTCGGCATTCCAGTTCTTCCATCCGTTGATAAATTTTTCCAGCGTAGCTGCCTGGACATCTCGGGAGGCAGGCATATCTGCTGCGCGACTGAATGGAGTTACCGTATGGCTCAGGCTTATAGATAGTATACGAGAGGACGAATGAAACCTGATGCTTGCAATCTTCAAACTGACCAAATGAAGATTGATTCCAGACCTGATATTTATAGGTGGCAAACGTGATGTATTTCACCGATTGAAGCAGGAGATCTTGTATGGTAATGTCTGGCGTCGGGCAATATTTGATCAGCCATCAGCCACTCGGGGCATTTATAGAATGAGGTGCACGGGCAACTCGCAGTGAAGGCTAGCAAGACCGTATCTATCCGTGGCGCATTAAGGTTAATTTTCTGGAGCCCAAAATTTCCTTGAAAGTCCTTTTAAGGGAAACCAAGTCCAACAGGCCGCTTTGCCATATCGTCTCATACCGTCTTCTGCTGTAAGGAGTGTGTATACGGGATGGATGGAGGGACGGAGCGATGGATAGAAGATAAAGAAAATCCGGACATGATTTTCAACTCCATTCCACTATAAATACCTAACTGATGCCCCGGAAGATAGATCCATGGCATTTCTAGATTATAAAGGGAAACAACTTTGCAGAAGATGTAGTTTTGACAAATTGCTCAACAATTCATTTTCACAGAGCACCACGGTTGAACGCCGAAATATTATTTCACAGCAGAACCTAACATCGTATATTATCCTGTAATCAAGGCAAACCATTTCTTTACTCCCTTGCGCACGCAAAATCCGACTTTGCCATCCTCGGCCAGTTTGCAGAGGACTTCATCGATGAACGGGCCTACAACGTTCTTCCGTACCTGTTCGTCTAGCTGGTGACCATGAATATTATCAATCAGTTCATTTACCGTCACGCTACCCGCCTGTCCAACCGACCCTTTCTCCCGATGAAGCCGGCCCAGCGCGACGAGACACTGCGTCTCGCGGCGCGTTTTCTGTCCAATTTCCGCCTCAATCTTTCCCTGAAAATCAGAAATGACGGCTCCATGTGCCGGATACCCCACCGTGCAGCCCTGCGCCTGCATCTTTTGCAGCGCGTCCATGTACACACCCAAGTGCTCCACGGCACTGGTTCCATGTCCGAGTACATTGTCGCCCGTGAAAAGGGCATTCTCTTCCTCGAGTACAAAACACATATGATCATGCGAGTGGCCTGGCGCATGGACTGCGCGGATTGTAGCCCCCTCGACAGCAAATACTTGGCCATCCTCAATTGGCTGCTGGCTGTAGTCGGGAGAATTCTTGTACACACTATCAGCCAAGTGTGGGTACATGCGGAGCAAGTCCGGCACGCCCTTGGTGTGATCACCATGCCAGTGCGTCAGGAATACATGAGAAAGCCCTATAGATCGCTCATGTAATGTTTCTTCAATTAAGTCCGCCCAGGCGCGGTACCCTTGCGCGGTGTCGATGATGAGCCGCTCCCGTCCGGTACCGACAATATACGTGTTTGTGCCTTGAAGTGTGAACTAATGGCAAAAGTGCTGTCAGCGAGATATCAAGGAATTTGGCTTTATTGCTTTTACCTTGCCGGCGTTCTGTCCAAGAACACGGAGAACCCGCGGACTAAGTTGGTCGACGTCGAGTAACTTTGGGAGACGCGACTGCTGAGCGCTCAGATAGGCGTCGAATGCACAAGCATTCAAGCTTTTGTTGATCTGCTGATATCCTCCTTCGCCCATTGCGTATAGAGCAGATGAAGGCGCATGCCAGAAACTAGAAACGTCGGTTATGTTGGGAGTACAGCTCTTAGGCTACTCGTTCATAACGAAACAATAGTTATAGTTAGCCGAGAGTATGCTAATATTATGCCCCGGTGCCCGATCTCCGTCTATGTTCAATTCTAGATTCCCGGGGGGTCGGGTAGTTAGATGACAAGGGCGAGACATGCCCACATCTCGGGGCAATAGGCAATACGGCTAGGAAGTATGACAGGAGTCAGTCATTTTCCTTCATGGGGAGAATTTGATAACAGACGTGCTCTGATGTATCGTAGGCTACTACAGAAAGAAGGGATTGTGGATTCAATAATTTTCATGTTAAGAATAATCAGTTACGGTCTATCCTGAAAGCATTAGACGATGACGCGACACGTCGCCCTGAGATTACCCTTGCGGACTGCGAACGAACAGGCGACCACCTCTTCTACAAGAACCGACTCTATATTCCTGACCATGACGAGTTTAAAACCGAGATTCTCCGCCAATGCCACGACAAACCCGCTGCCAGCCATCCTGGCCGCTCAGAAGGCACACGAGTTGCTGTCCCAAGAATAGTACTGGCCGCGGATATACCAATATTTTGACCAATGGACGAAATGCCACACTGAGTGTGCCCAAGTGGTCACTAAGCATTCACGGAGCACTCACTGCCCGGGTGAGCACTTGCCCAGGTGGACACGCACTTTCGCTCACTAAGTATATTGCTCATAGTAATCAAACATGTGCGAAGTAAAGTCTCGGGTCATCCGCGGGCCTCCGCGGCCTTCCGCGGAAACCATCTCTCTTTTAAGGCTAGTCTGCCCGATATCCGCGCTAGTCGTAGTACATACTCCCAGGTAACAATGATTTCAAGATATAAAAGGGAAGATCCATCTATGTAAATGTCAGTCTAAAATCTAATACTTCAAGCAAAACGACCGCACCATCATGTCTAAGAAAATAGCACTGGTCATCTGCAGCACCAGAGAGCCCCGACTAAACCCCTTCATCGCTCGATACGTTCTCGACATCATCTCTCGCCAAAACTGCGAAGAAAGCCTTGAAATACTTGATATCAGCGAACAAGGTCTCCCTCTGTACAACGAGCCTGCCATTCCATCGTTCCTTCCGGAGGCTGATCCTACGCCTCATTACGTGCACCAACACACGCAAGCATGGTCCGCCAAGATTCGACAGTACAGCGCATTCATTTTCGTTACACCTCAATACAACTGGAGTATTCCTGCCAGTTTGAAGAATGCATTGGATTACTTGTACTATGAATGGAAAGACAAGCCTGCGGCCATCGTGACGTATGGAGGGAGAGGAGGTGGGAAGGCGGCAGATCACTTGCGTGGTATTATTCAAGGATTGCACATGAACGCCGTCTCGATTAGTCCTGGGCTCGTTGTGAAGGTTACGACGCTAGAGTCTGTGGAGGGACAGCAGATTGGCGTTGAAGACAAGGGACGGTGGCGGGAAAGTGGTGCCGAAGAGCAGGTTTCTTCCATGTTTTCAGAGTTGATAGAGAAAGTTCATGGTCATTAGGGTATCATCAGTCCATAAAATACCTCTCATATCTGGTTTGTGGGTTGGGGTCTAAGAATTATGTATGTATTCCACTACTGAAACTTCAAGCTTCCTGCGCCACCTCCAGAGGTACTAGACTGGAGCATGTACTGATAAATGTGCCAAATGATCATAACATTAGGAAAAAGAAAGTTATCCTAGCTGTACGAATGTGGCTTGCGTGGCTGATCAAACTGCCATGCATGTTGCAGAGGTGCCCAGTCTACACAGAGATCTGATATCTAAATATATGACCACCCCCATCGGTTCAATTGCAGGTTTACCAAGAGAAGATCCAAACGCGGCATCTTTAGTTCTGAATTACGTGGTTATTGGACAGTTACGTGCCATGATTTTTGATATTGTAATAGCTTTGAAGACAAGGGAAGAGGTAGAGATGCCTGGCTATGAGGATGGTGGAAGTCGAAGTTATATTTCTTGCGGGGCAATGCCTTTATATCGCTTCTGGAAAGTTTCCATTCAATTATGTTTTGTAATTTCAAAGTAGGACTAGTTGGGCTTAGCGACAAGCAACTGGTGGATTTGACACAGAGGCAGAAGAGGTGCCGTATCGTGCTTGTGGCTACATGTAATAAGGATTCTTTCGATTCTTTTTCTCTCAACTTTGTCATCTAATTGAAATTATATAGATTTGTGCACCAAATTCTGATACAATATAGATGGGGTCATTCCAGGAAACCAGACTTCGTGAAAATGACCGGGTCCTTCCGAGAGCGATTGACCTGCAACTGGAAAACATCGAGTCTTTGATATCCACCAACGACATCATGGTATTGCTTCCCTTCAATGCAATTATCGAGGTTCATATCGGCGTAGATAATATTTTCCTCATTCTGCAGAAACTCCACTGGTTGTTGAACTTTGGTCGTTTCGTCCACCGTAAACGCAGGAAGAGGGGCACCCGCTGGATCTAAAAACATGCTGATCCCCTGAGAAGAATCTTGCAGAGCACGTCGTACTGTCTCAGGTGAACCAGAACCTTCCACTATAGCGTCTATGGCCTCCAGATCAAGGAGGCTACTGCACATGACGCCGTAGGACTTGGCTTCAAAGCAATGAGCAGCGGCCCGCAAACGATTGGCGAGAACATTGTCGTAGTTGCGAGGACCTTGGCCGGCTTGCTCGTTGGCTGGCTTGGAAATATTGGCGGGGACCCTGGTCGGCCAAATAGCTGGCCAGGATGAGATGTGAATTTGTTCTTTCTGGGCCATCAAAGAGTATCGGGCTAGTGGGTTTGTATTTTCGCCACAAATAAGTCCTCCGATACGGCCATATGGAGTATCGGCCACACGCAGCCCGTAGCCATCGCCCGGACTCCAGGTCAATTTCTCAAAGAAGGTCGGCATCAGCTTCCGGTGGTGGACGACGACTTCGCCGTCAACGTTGATAAGTACATTTGAGTTGTACAGACATGCTGTACTCGCATGAGCCTTTTCGGAGATACCCATACTGATGACCGTTTTGGTTTCGCGTGCCACATCTCGAAGGGCCTGAACCTCCGGACCATCTGCGAACACAGATTCCTGAACGATTCTTTTGAAAAGGTCATGGTTTTCTGTTGGCGGACGCAACGCACTCCAGAGAGGGAACGCTGAGATGTAGGACTCTGGGAAAACGATCACATTTGCTCTATTCCTGGCAGCTTGGTGAACGATAGAGATTGCCTTATCAGTTGACTTTTGGGCTGAAAGGAAGCGAGGTGCCACATGGCAAGCAGCAACACGAGTAAAAGCAAGAGTAGAAGCCATGTTTGGATTGATTCAAGATAGAAGGCCGTTCTCATATATCCACGTCGAGTATTACTGTTTCGGGGAGCTAGCTTACTTACCAGGCTGCTTGTTGACAAGGAGGATGTCCCTGTTTAGTTAGGTTACCGAAGTCATACAGGGATGCATAGCGGGCTTCCACACCACAATGAACTGGTGATGGTATATCCGCAATAGCCGCTTTTGCCCCGTCTTGCCGCAGATTGAACCAACAAATAAAAGCGATGCCACATATTCACGTTAGACTCAGGTTAAACTTTACGGGCAACCTTATCGACAAGCTATCTTAGAGATTACTGGTCGACAAGCGAGAGGTCCGTAGTAAGTTGTGGAGATGTAGGGGGCGTGGGGAGAGGTTGTTTCCGCACTGCCATAAACCGGTGATAGTCTCCGGACAGCCAGTTTCGTCACGTCCTGCCGTTCAAGACGAATGTCTAACAGAACTTCTTCGCGTGGCATGTGATATGAACAAAATTGAAGAAATTGCTCCAATATCCCACTGGATTTTCCGGTTTCATCTGTTTAAATGGGCTGCATTGACGGATTCAATCATCATGAACTGAAGCCTAGGAACTAGGAAAGGTGTGATTCAATACAAAGTGTTCACTGCATTGATAGATTTACATGAGAGAGTCTACGACAGCTCTCATTCACAAATGGTATAATTAACATTTTCCACATTTCCAGTAAGTAGCACCGAAGTATTAGATGAACTTTAAGTCCATATATTCGAGGTAACGCTGTGCATGTACACACCCTCTCTTAACTCCCTTTTAAAGGTGGGTCGTCCATTTGCTTTGCTTCTTGCTAAAGCTTTTTAAGTGGAAACCACCAGTTCTATCCCTTCAGACCTCAATCAGTAGACGCAATATTTATACTTCTCCCTAACAAATGACTCCAAGCTCACTCAATAATACATCAACTAATACCGATTGTTGCGGCCCCACTACCACCAACTTCCTAATACGGTTTAACTGGATCGCTTATTTCTTATGAAATTAGAATATCCTGATCTAAAATTATCTTTAAGTACGCTCAGAAAATGCAGAATCATTCTATTGAATGGCAGCTGGCATGTAAAGATCATTACAGCTAATCTGCCTGATTCGTACGCCTCGCAAGCTCCTTGACCTGATGCGGAACAAATAAGTATCCATTATCGTGAGGCTATGGGTTGAGTAATTCCTTTCCCAGCACCCCTGTTGTCGGAGCGCAGTTCAAATATTCGAAATGTGCATCACCACGTTTCAATACCGAGACTTCATGCCAGGTTCGGAATTTCCGATACTCGCCAAACTTTTTGGCATGTTTGATGGCACCAGTGTAGATCGCCAGATGGGATGGGTGTCGTTTGGCCCACCCTTCCAAATCAGAGAGGTTTCTGAAGAACCCAGTCACACAGGTCTCCCTAGAATTTGTCTCGTGCTGAGACAAACCATGCGGGGTGTTCCTCAAGTATCTCAGACCCATGGAGCCACTCTCAACTGGATTTTGCCATAAGTACGTGAGACCTTCTCGTAGCGTCGGTTCCAGGTTCTCCTCATATGACTTGGTCTCTTCATCGCCGCAGTTCGCCCAAAATTGGCCTGAGCGGATGTGAACCAGATTATCGTAATTTGTGCCGACCAAATGCGGGCTGTCCGTCTCAGAGATTGAATCGAATGGTATAACTGAAGACTTGTCCAACCCGAATAGGTCGTGAGCCGAAGCCGGAATTCGATCTCGCGCGGCACCCCAGTAGGCTGAGCGCGTATGCTCAACGATATTGGTCCCAGGGAGCCGGGCAAGGCCCGGTAGATAATCCAGACCCGAGTAATTTGTCTCCAGACGCGAAACTTGAGTCGTAAACCTCTCACACCAAAGCCCAACGCTCTGACGATCCTCAGGGTGAAGTGCTTGATGAAGCTTTGCGAGGTTTAAACTTTTCAAGCTCTCTTCGTATCTCTCATTATTATCCCAGTAGCAAACAAATACTGTCGAATTTGGAATGTCATTGCCGTCGAGTACATGAAAATTTTCCACTGATTTGGGAGCATATTGGGGGTCCACAAGCCATCGTTGGATCCGTTCGACTATCTGAGACGAGATTCCTACCTGACCTGTATTGTTCCCCGCACGCTGTTGTACGCCAACATATGCAGTGAAAACTCGATCGATACCATCTGGGAAATTGGCGAGCCAACGAGGGACGGGGGGTTTGTAGTTTTTGGGCTGTCGTAGAGCAAAAAGCCGTGGGCAGGCCATGGTTCGTTGGGAAGTTAAAAAAGAAGATATTTTGGATTGGGCGATGAAAAAAAGGAAGTTATTGGGGACAAAACAACAAGGGCAGGGAGGACTTATATGCGCTCCTGTAAATTGCAATTGGTAAGAGGAGTGAGGGACTCCGGGATTAGGGGCAACGTGACTGGAGACGGCAAAGTGAGGAGGTTAAATACTAAGTTCGGCTATTGCGGATCAGACTTAATACCGCCAAGTCATGAGTTTGAATATGAGGCTAAACGTGTTGGTCGTCCCTCAATTTCTGGTTTCCAAGCTAGCAGAAGGTTTTATCGCTGGCCTATTGGACACGCTACTTTTCGCATTAGGAACGTGACGGGAGTGGGTTGATGCATGAGGTTAACTAAAAACTTACATGATTGGACGAAAGTTTTGTGTTTTGTAAAAAGAAAAAAAAAATTTATACTGACTTGTCATTTCCGCTTCCAGGGTTTAGTCCGCTGGATGACTGGCTGAGGCTTTCATTCTGATATACGGTAGCAGATGGTCCATGTTACACCCAAGCTTATATCAGGAGCATGGAAGAACTTGAAGCTAAGCACAACTAGAAACATCGTGAACGACCCTGGATATTAAACACGTGAGCTTGTCCTCGTTCTCATTCAGAATACAAGCAGTCAACCATCAATTATCTCATTCATCTTCCTCTGTACAAACTCCTCCATCCCACCCCTCTCCTCTTCAGTCAACAAAGCAAACCGATCCCCCATAGTCCCCTCCCCAAAGAACCTCCGATCAATTGGAGCCCAGTGGATAACATCAAACGCCCAACTCCGCCTAGCAGCATAACTAACCCAAAAATCGCCATTCTCCCAACTCTCCCGCATAAACCCGGATAGGCGATTCTCCTCTCCAATCACACCACGCGCAATCTCAGCATCTTCCCGCACGACCATCTCCTCTAGCCAGACCTCCAGACGCTGCTCATAAGCCCTCGTCCAATCATCCAACCCCCGTTCCCAGTACTCTGGCCGTTCAAGGAGTAACCAGCACGGTGGGGCATAGACAAAGTCCGCAGGTGCGGCATATGAAAATTCCCAATCAATCGCACCACAGATCTTGTAGTCAAAGTCGGAATTGGCGAGGATATTTGCAGGCCGGAGATCATCACAATATAGCTTAAAGGGACCATACTCAAAGCGACAGAGTCGTTTCTCCCGTGCTAGCTTCCGAAATAGACAACGTGCAATGTACTTCGTTCGACAGTCCTCTGCATAGTCGATAGCATCGTGTTTCTGCTATGATAGATGCACCATGTGCAGCTCAGCCAGGACAAGGAAATATTCCGACCCGCTCCTGAATGTTCGCTGAGGTAAATCTTCCTGTGCAACACCGCCCACCTGAACGAGTTCGTTCATGTTGATGCTGAGCGTTCTATGTTTGACAACCCACTCGTTATCGAGTTCATCGTTTTCATTATTGGAAATGCATCCGGTGGCATTGAATGAACACTTTGAAATTTGTAATATCAACCCTGCCATATCACTGTACACAGATCTAATCCTAGCAGGTGCAATATCCGGATCAAGAATTGGGCGTTCTTCGATGGGGATTCCGGGAGTATTCAGCGCGTCAACCAAATCGGCGTCATTGTCAATGTACTCTATAATAATGAACGGGCCTAGTCGGGCGGGACTATGCTCGGCCATGCCATAATGCAATATATGCGGGACACGGATGTCAGTGTGCCGCTCGAGAAAGCGCATGACTGAGACTTCGCGCTGGACTTTTTCTTCGGGGAAGATTGAGTATCCTGGTATTGGGAGGCGGATAATTGTAGATGCGCCGTCTAGGAAGCGGAGGCGGATCACCATATTGAACGAGCCCTTTCGCGGTGGGAAGAGCCGGTCTGCGATGCCTTCGCGGTGATGCTGGATTAGAGCTGTCATCTCTTTTATGGCGGCTTGGTTGAAGAGTTTGCTTTTCCATGATGCTAGGAGTTCGTCGGCTTTGTCCCAGAGGACTTCGTCGAAGAACATTAGCTTGCCCCTGTAGATTGGGGGTAGAGGGGTTGGTCGCATTGTTGCATAGTGGGATGAAAGGGAAGATGTGATTTGTTTACCCCCGCGAGGTACAAAGACGACAGTCTACATGGAGATGTTTGAGTCTTCGAGTGTTGCCTGTGACCCTATAAATTCCCCAGTGCTGACGGATCTATTTTAAGCTTAGGATTAGTCTAGTGGGGCCGTGAGGGGCATTTCGTTGCTATAAATTGTCTATTTAGGAGTTGAGAGACAGCAAAATAGCAAATAGCAAGCGTTTCATGATGCTTTTATCTCAACTTTCGCTTTCGCCCACCTCACAACCTCATCCGACTCCTCATTTTTAGTAATACACTCAGCTAGATTCTTCACAATCACTTCCCCAGCCACTCTGGCCCACCACATCTCTTCAAGACGGCAAGGGCGAAGATACCGTCCAGGATATAATCTGTAGTAAAACCCATCTCCGGAATCACAACCCGCCACAGTTCTCGGATCTGGGGCTTAGGTGGTAACGTCGCGAAGGTGGAAACTGTGAAGTGGAGGAGTACTTAAACATTGGAATTTTTTGCATAAGGCGCGGATGGATAACATATGGTTAAAAGCTCCCGGGTCGCCTCATCGGCTTATTACCCCCGGTGAGGGCACTGACACCGCTCCTTCCATGCATTTGGAGTTTAGCTAATAGGTACACCTTCTCGGTCTCTAGACCAGTTGCAAAGATTGAGATAGAAACTGCCTGTGGCATCTAAGCCACGAAATCCCCGAGGCGCGTGAACAGTTCAACTTCCATCCTCTCGGCCGCATCATGATGTTGGAGAATCTGGCCCATATTGTCCTCCCCCAAATCTTCTTCCCATAGTGGCTGAGGCTCAGCATTGGCTTTCATGTTGCGGTAGATGCACATCCTTAGATGCCAACGTAGTAGATGCGCACTGACGCGGTTGTTTTGGTCTGTGCCATCTCTAGCGGAGCCTCTGAGACGCGTACCCCCAAGTCCGTTTGCGTCTTTGGCGAAAACGAGGATCTTATAATCGGCCTAGGTTTTTGTGTTATTAGTCTCTGTCACAGGTAGAAATATAAGAAGACTTACATCTGGATCGACACCAATTTTGAACCCATCAAACGCTTCATGGATGTCGGATCTAAGAAGTAGGCCGTTTTGGGGAGAGTACAGCTTGCTGCTTCCAATCTTGGAATCAGGACTGAGGTCAGTGATATACCTCTGGTAGTTTCCACGTTCCCATTGGCCAATCTGGCTTGTAGGAAAAATGTGTGCGGCGTGAAGACCACGATATGGATGCTCGGAATCCCCGGCCACAGGTGCGGAATTGGAGATTGTGCAAATGGAGTCTCTGCCGCACAGACTTTCCCGGAAGTGCGATTGCTATAAAAGCTATTAGCTACCCCGTTAGGTGTACCACAGAATTCCAGAGTTAACTTACCAAAAGACCTCTTTCGCGTCGTCCTTCAGACCTAGAGCTGGGGTCTTGGGTGGTGACGCGGCGTGGTGCTGACTCGCCAGTGAGTTGAACGATCATCGGCTGTTGGTCTAATGAATGTTAGATAATTCAGTACCTCGAGATTTAGCATGCTTACTATCATCGAGAACCAGATAATTGCCTGGCTTTATGGGGGTGTGGCGCTCCGAACGAAGGACACGGCCTGGTGATTCATCGCGGAGGATAGGAAAGATTGCCCATGTTTGGTGACCAGGGATGATGAAGACCATACTGCAGTACCGGTACAGCATCTCGTGCGTTAGATGTCTCTGGCGGGGATTGATTTCCAAAGCTGTTGGTCAGTTTGTTTGTTTCCGATACTCTGTAAGTGACTCACAAGCAAGGAGGGTTCCATTGTTATCGTAAAGACGAACATTGTGTTCCCGAATCCTTGTTTCCTCGAGAACGCGTGTCATGGTGTCTAGATGCGCGAGAACAAGCTAGTAGGTGTGAAGTGGCAAATGCTAGGAGCAGAAGAAGAGCAGAAGAACGTGGAAGAAGAGCAGAAGAAGCGCAGAAGAACGTGGAAGAAGAGCAGAAGAAGCGCAGAAGAAGAGCAGAAGAAAATGGAAAAAGAGTGGTGCAAAATAAAATGAAAACAAACAGTTGAATCTCGAGGCCCGTAGATATCGAAAACAGTCTAAACACCTCTGTACACATTGGCCTTTAGTATAAGGCGCAGATAATCTGGTTAAACCTTCCGGGTCGCCTCATCGGCTTATACCCCCGGTGTGGGCACTAACGCCACTCCTTCGGATGGATTTGGAGTTTCGCCATAGATACACCTTCTAGGTATCTAGACCAGTTATTAAGATTGAGAAAGAAACTGCATTCTATACAACGCATCAACTAAGTAGGTATCACGATGCATAACCTAAAGTCCGCACACCATCAGACATCCTATCAAGCACTTACAGTAACCCCCCTAAAAAGGCTTAACAGTACGCTGGAACCTAGGCGGGTGACGGGAAAACTTCTCCGGCTCATCTCTAGCGCCCTGCTTCCAATAATCAAACTCCATCCAAGCATTCTCCGGCATCTGCGCCTCAGTCGCCTCCAGAAAGTCACCCAGGTCAGGACAAAGCGGGACGACCCCCGTCTCAAGAACATACTGATCCCAAAGTTTGAGGAGCTGTTTCAATTTCTCGGGTTCGGATTCGGACAGGTCATGGATCTCGCCGGGGTCGTTGACGAGGTTGTAGAGCTGCCATTTTTCTGGGCCCTTGGGTTTAGGGATGAAGACGATTTTCCAATCTGCACAGCGGAGCGCGGCTCTTCCGCATGTTTCCCAGCCTTGGATGAAATCTTTAGGGTGGATGCGTTCTGCTTGGCCAATTGCCCATGGGTGGAAACTTCGGCCGCGCATCTCGACAACTTCGCGGCCTTGGTAGGTTGGGGCCGGGTGCTTGAGGCCTGCCATGTCGAGGATTGAGGGAGCTAGGTCCATGACTGTTGCGAATTGGTCTGTTATACCGCCCTTTCCGGCTGCTATGTCGACTGGGTTGATGTTGAGGTTTTTGGGGAATCGGCAGGTGAATGGGACGCGGACGCCGCCTTCGGTGGTGTATGCCTTGTACAGGCGCGATGGAGCAGTGGCAGCCTGCGCCCAGCGCGGACCGTACCAGATGAATGAGTTGCCGTTGCCGAGGTTCTCAAGGCTGTTGTCGTAGTATTTCTGGAGGTGGGGCATGACGCCGTTTTGGACCATCGGGTAGGCCTCGTAGGCGGCGCCTTCGGCTCCGTTGTCAGACATGAAGCAGACAAATGTGTTGTCCAGTTCGTCGATGGAGCGTAGGTATTCTACGACCTTGCCCACGTTGGAATCAATGCACTCGACCATGCCAGCGAATACCTCCATCGCTACTGCGGACTTCTTCTTCTCATCTGCCGTGTACTCCTCCCATGGCTTGACTTCCTCTGCCTGGACGGGGTGTGGCTCAACATCATCGCGCACCATGCCGAGATCTTTCAGGCGCTGCAGCCGCTTCTGTCGGAGTACGTCTGGGCCCTCGTCGTAGACACCGCGATAGTGGTCGATGTATTCACGCGGGGCCTGGAGGGGCCAGTGCGGCGCCGTGAATGGGAGATAGCCAAAGAAGGGACGGTCTCCATTGCCATCAGGGCCATCACTTCCACCGGTCTCTTTCCATTCCTTCAGGTAATCTACCATTTTATCGCCATAGCCATCGGACGAGTACCAGCCCTCGGGGAGTTTGCGCACATACTCACCATCCTCCATATGCAGAGCGATGTAACTCGCCTCGATAAAGGTAGGAATCTGGTCCTTATCCTTCAGCTCCGGCTCGTAGGCATAGTGGTTTGAGCAGGCAGGTAGATGGGCGAATGATCGCTCAAAACCGCGCTTGTATGGCGAGCGCTCTGGCGTTAGTCCCAGGTGCCATTTGCCCGACATCACTGTGTGATATCCTCCATCACGCAGCACCTCCGGGAGTGCCACGACCCGCTCGTTAAGATAACCTTCGTAGCCGGGCATACCACGCTGCGGGGCGGTGCTCATGGCGGAACCCTTTGGTCCGTTCTGGCCGGAGATGTTGGTCCATTCAATCAGGTTGCCTAGACCTGCGATGTGGTGGTCTGTACCTGTCATGATCATGGCACGTGTGGGACTAGAATGGTCAGTCTGGTGTAAGTCTTGCTTGGTTAGGTGATGCTCACGAGCATGCTGCCGCGGCGTGGAAGTCTGTAAACCGTAGACCTTCCTGGGCAATCTTGTCGATATTGGGTGTACGGATTTCACCACCGAAGCAGCCCACATCGGAGAAGCCCAGGTCATCAGCGACAATGACCAGAAAATTGGGACGTTTGGGTGCCATTTTCAAACGTGTCAGAGAAGGTGAGGGTAGAAAAAGAAAGAAAAGAATGAGGGGTCACAGATATCCTGGGGGGCATGCAGGATTATATCGGCAAAGCAGCCAAAGCTCTAGCACAAGCATCAGACCATCCGCTGTCGTTGTTCGTGGCTCGTCGGCCATCGGCAAAGAATGCGGGGAGGCTCCACATCTGATAAGAATTGCTTGTTGGCATAACTTCGTTCATAGTTGGACTACAACTCCACCAACAACTAACTTAAACAACAAATAACCTTGTAGAGAAACTGAAGAGAAGAGGTTACACTCGGATGGCGCAATCCCCCCACGCGAATTCGCATGTCGGCAATCGGCAGTCATGACATAATCAGTTGCAGATCCGGAGAGCTTTCAACGTCAACACTACACATCTACACTACCTAGGTACACTACCCGAGTACACACTTCAAGGCTACTCAGAGTTTATGTGACTCCAGCCATGCATTCAGCTATATCTTTACCCCCTCCCTCACCCCCAATCCTCCCATCCATCTCTACCTGGTGCTCGAACCTCTATACCCGGTGGATCCCCACCTCCACACCATCATCAAGCTATAGCAAGCTTCCCCAAAGCCCAAACCAACCTCAAACCACCCAATCGAGCAATTCCGAGCTCGAAGACCCCATAATGGAAGCTTCCCGCTTACCAAAAGCCCGATGGCGCACCTACTGGCTAGCCCTAGTCCTCTGCTGCGGCGGAGCCCTATTCGGCTATGATTCCGGGGTAATAGGTAAGCAACCAACCATCCTGCCACTCGTTTCCAAAAAAAAAAGAATACAAACTAAAGCCAACCCACAGGCGGTGTCCTAACCTTCCCCTCCTTCCAACAAAGCTTCAACTTCACCACCACCCAAAAGACAAGCATAAGCGCCATAGCAGTAGGAATCCAACAAGCCGGCGCATTCGCAGGCTGCTTCCTAATCTGGCCATTGACAAACGCCCTCGGCCGGCGCGCCGCAATGATGATCTGCTCAGCAGTCTTCTGCATGGGCGTAATCCTCGAAGTAATCGACACACACTCCCTCGCAGCCTTCTACGTCGGCCGGGTAATCTGCGGACTAGGCGTTGGCGGTTCGGCAACCGTGATACCGATCTACATGTCTGAGATGAGTCCCAAGGAGATCCGTGGCCAATTGGGGAGTTGTTATCAGCTTACGTATACCATTGGAATTCTTGTTAGTTATTGGGTTGATTATGGGGTTAAGGGGATGCCGGCCACGGCGAGGCAGTGGCAGTTGCCTATTGGCCTGCAGCTCGTTCCTGGGTTCCTTATGGGGGTTGGGGTTTTGAGCCTGGCCGAGAGCGTAAGGTGGCTGTTGGCGAATGGGAGGGAGGAGGAAGCTTGGAGGAGTCTTGTTTGGATTCGGGCGGGAGAGGGGGTGGCGGTTGTGGGTGAGTTTGAGGATATGCGGAGGGGATTGGAAGAGGAGAGGCATGCTACTGCTGGGTTCCGGGTGAGGGAATTGCTGGAGTGGCCGAATCTGCATCGGTTGTTGATTGGTGGTGGGTTGTTTCTGGCGCAGCAGTCGACTGGGTCGACTGCGTTGGCGTATTTTGGACCGCAGTTTTTTGCGATTCTTGTTGGGGATGGAGATCGCACTTTGTTGCTTACGGGTATCTTTGGTGCGATCAAGGTTGTGGCTTGTGCGGTTTTTGTGGTGTTTTTGTCGGATCGGTTTGGGAGACGGCCGTTGCTTATGAATGGCGCGGCGTTTATGGCTGTTTGTATGATTGCTACTGCGGCGGTTATCAAGGCTTACCCGCAACCTGGGGATGGGACAGTGACATCTTCGGGGATTGCGACTGTCGCGTTGATATATCTTGATATCATCGCTTACAACTTCAGTTGGGGGCCGCTGCCTTGGCCATGCACGAGTGAGATCTTTCCCACGCGGATTCGGGAGCCCGGTGTTGCGTTCGGTGTTGGATCGCAGTGGCTGTTCAATTTCGTGTGGAGCTTCTCGACGCCGTACATCCAGGCGGGCATTGGCTGGGGGACATTCCTGCTGTTTGGTCTGTTGGATGTTCTCATTGTCATATTTACATTCTTCTTCCTGAAGGAGACTGCCGGCAAGTCTCTGGAGGAGATTAACAATATGTTTGATGGGATTGATCCCGATGCTGAGCATGGGTGGAAGGGGGTTACCGTGGATGGATCTGCCCATGGTGATGCTGATGCATACCAAGATGCGCAGACTGATATTGATACCAAGTCTGTCCAGTCCAAGCATCAGTCTGCACATGTCGAGTCAACCGCTGGACGGTCTTGATTTGACACTAGTCTATGATCTATACAATGTTTGTTAATAGTTTGTTATAGGAATATAAAGACACCACGTCGTGGGAAGCACATTCCCATCAGAGGTCATGTCATTCATAGAAGATATATCCTCAGGTACAGGCCCAGCAAAAGCCCAGCCATCGCCAACAATAAACAGCTAGAAACGAACGAACGGAACAAAGCCTGACACAAAGTCCACAGGAAAGAAAACATCCATCCACACAAGCGAATGAAAGAAGGAAAACTCCAGGCACCCTCCAGCTCATATACTGGATCGCAAGTCAAAATCAACAATTTTGATAATAACAAACCCACAACACCATCCCATTCCATCCCATTCAACCCAACAGATCTGCTGCCCCATTACCTCCACATAAGTCATATTCATAACACATAACAGAGTTCCACCGGCACCCTCTCACACATTGATTAAATCATCAAAAGTATCCTCCGCAGAAAAAGCAAACGGACCCTCCGAGACAAGCGAAGCCTCCGAATCCCTCCTCATCTGCTGCTCGAAAGCCTCCGCCGCCGCCGCAGCCGCCGGCTCCAACTGCAACGGATCATCAAACCCAAACGACAACGCCGCCTGCCCAGGCTGTGCAGCCATAGACACAGGCACAGCAATCGCCGCAGCAATAGCAGCAGTGGTAACAGCAGTGGCCGGCTCAAGCGGCGAGATGGACGAATCCTCCGGCAAAGGCACAGGCGACTGCGGCATAGCACCTACCGCAGCAACAGCCGACGGCTGACTATCAACATCAGTGATCTTTTTCAGCATCTGCGCGAGATGCATTTTGATAGGTTCATCACCACACTGAGAATGTTTCAGTACTTCATTCTTCAGCCCTAGGACCTCCGAGCGCAGTCGTGCAATCTCCGTCATGAGAGACTGATGTTTCTCCGACTGGTGCTTGTAGCGGAACTCCAGCTGCTGGGTATGTTCTTTCTTCTTTTGACGACATTTGCTAGCAGCGAGACGGTTGCGCTCGAGGAACTTGGCGCGTTTCGCACTGTCCATTGGTCCGCCGTCGTCTAGATCTAGTTCTGGGCTGAGGCTTGCCGCTGCGGCTGTGTACTCGCGGACGCGGCGGCGCTTTGAGGCGCTTGCGCTGCTGTCCATGCTCATGCTCATTGCCATGTCGAGGGCTGAGACTGGGAGGTGGTTGGCGGATTGCTGTTCGTCGTAGGGGGGAGGGGTTGGTTGGCCATTGCGGACTTGGGCATTTTTGAGATCGCGTTCCATGGCGGAATGGGTAAAGGCTGCCGAGTCGGCTTTGCTGGGGTCCCAGGTTGAGCCGGTCATTGCGGAGATGGGGCTTAGGCCCCAGAGTTGTTCCTCGTCTGGGATTGGGACTAGGAAGTCGCCTGCGAAGGGAAGAGTAGCGAGATGGGATTCAGTGAGGTTCATGATATTCGACATGATGGTGTTGGAGAGTGAAGGAGGACAAGGTTGGCTTCTTGCCCTAACAGAAGTGAATAGCCCTAAACCAGCAACCGAGTTGTTCACTTCCACGTTCGGCCGGTGCCTGAAGCGTTGTGAGTCCGCGGTTGACTTGGAAGGAGCCACGGTCGGACAAGACTTCCGTCCAGCAGATCCGAAGTGTGACAAAGAAAGAGAAAGTGGAGATGTATTTAAAGAATAAAAGGATAACAGCATAAGCTAAAGAATGGAGGTCCAACGGGATTCAATGCCGGTCCCATCCCGTTGAAGTATACAGCCCTGAAGCTTCTAGAATACATAGTTCACTCTGTCCCATGTCCACGGATTGCCTGCTCCTTGTGATAGTCTCCCTTGGCCCACTCTCGTAGCTGGCGATTCACAAAATACCAATGATCGATTAACAGTCCCGCCACGCGTTGTTCCTCGATCTCCTGTTCCACCATATGCACCGGCACCCCGTCTCGGTTCTCTTGCCCCCTGGTCCCGAGGAGAAGCGGTCCAAACACCCGCTCCAGGCCATGGTCTACCGCCACTGTCCGGACATCAGTCCCGGGTGGAGGAATCTCGACACGAGTCAGTCGGGTGAGCAGCCCAAAGACTGCACAGATCAGCTCGCGCTCCATGTCATCCGTCAGCGCAATAACAGCAAGGGCGATAAGCTGCACACGGAGCGCAATACGTGAATCCAACCCTTCAAGACAGTCGGGGACATGGAGGTTCTCAGCGTGCTGTGGGATGGAAGCAAGGTTGATGTCGCTCAAAGTATGGTACAGTCGGACACTCCCGAGGATCCCGTAGTGAAGCCCCGCCAACAAGGCCTTCAGGGTCCATGCCACACTCAACGCCGGTGCTGAATCTTGAGTAAGTTGAGGCATAGCAACCACACGCATGGTCAAGGCAATCTTGGCCTCCTCCTTTTCGGCTGAGAGCACTTGAGAGGCAAAATTGTCATACATGCGAGTGGCCGCCTTCAAATCACCCGGATCGACAAAGAGGCCAGGCACGTTTGCACCTGCAGGAACCCGTTAGCCAAGTCATGACGGAGGAGGGCAAGTTACAAACCATATCTGTGCAGAAACATAACGGTCGCCACAATGCATGCAGGCAGCTGCAGGGGGAAAGGAGCCAAATCCGCCAACATAAGAAATGCATGTCCTCCAAGACGAGCCAAAGTTTCCACTGATCGTCCTCGCAACGAAGTCATCGGAACGGGACGACGCAGGGTTGCAAAAGTCTTTGTTCGTCGCAGCTTAGGGGGTTGGGGTTTTGTATCGGCCGCCAAACCAGATCGCACCTTGCGAACCCGACTCATCAATCGGAAACCCCGTCGCCCGTTGCCTTGTTCCTCGGGGCGAGGCAGTTCCTCTGGCAAATGAGGTTAGTGGTAGCTCACGCCAAAGGAAGAAAGAACGTACGTAGGCTGTCTTCAGGTTCCGGAAGTACCTTGGGGATATGGATACCGAAGCGAGTGATCAACTGATTCAAGGCGACAGTTGCTCTGCTTGGTTCAAGCTGACACGGCTCCCTCATCCAACTGAGATTGCTGATCATGGAGCTGGTCCTCTCAGGAAGCGGAGCAGGCTCAATCTTGTCGACATCGTCCTCAAGAATAGGATCAAGGGAACCCTCAGAGGCCTTCGAATGCTCTCGGCTTCGATCAGGACGCTTGGAGGACGATGGATGTGCCTGCTGGGGCTCAGTGCTCTTCCCATCGGAGAACGGGTCGGATCCCTCACGAATGTGAGTGCCATCTTCAGGGTAATACATGAGTCCTGGCCATGACCACTCATCCAAGGATTGCCGGGTTGGGGTTGGGATAAGCTCAGGATCAGTAGGGTGTCGACAGACAGTATCTTCAGTCTGGCTCGACTCCTGTGACTCAACCGTCTGAGTGCTGACCTTCCGCTCACCATCTCCAACGACCTGAGGGTTATTATCAAAGCGAACAGACTTTCCAGGGCTATCCTGCGCGGGAGGGATTTCCTCCTGTTTGAAAGGATTGGTTGTTGGGTCTCCATTGTCAGGAGCTGGGATTTCAACATTATCAGGAGCCGGGGCTTCAGCAGATTGAACCATCTCCGAGACAGGATCCTCCTCGTGGGGTAGACTCGAATGGAAGCGTTCAACGATCCTCTTCAGTCTTTTCGTGCCATACTTGGATCGACCAAGCGGAGGAGTATGCTCAAATTCAAGAGGAACTGGCTGGGTTTCGTCAGCCTGTTCGCCAACAGGAACTGCGGTGCATTCCGTGGGTTTCTTTGCAGTCACGGCATTTGCAGGCTTGGATGGCGAGACATCGCTTCGAGATTCCTGCGAAATCGCCTCTGGCTGGGGTTTCAGTGGCTCTGTATCAGACGCACGACGCTGCGCTCGAGATTTAGGGTTTGGATTATCTGATCTGGATGACCTGAACACGGCACGAAAGCGACGCATGATTGCGTGAGTATGCGTGAATCGGTACGAGAGAAGTGAAGAAGATGAAGTAAGTTAGGGAGAGAACAGGATGGGTAAGACCTGCGTCGAGGAAGGAGCACATTGGGAAGCTACGTTGTCTACGAACACCCAAGGAGTTCATCAAATCTTCAAGTCTATATTCCGACAAACATTTTAGAGACCATGTCATTACCTCTGTACATTCGTAAAGCCCAAAATCAAAACATGGCCTCGCCGGGCCTGTCTGTGGGAATATTTCTCAACTAAAGAAACGCCGGAACCATGCAAGGCTGATATGTAGGATCATGCTTCTTCGTTCTCTCCTTCGAGAAGAATGTAGTGCAGGATATCACTCAGGGTCAGCACACCCTTAAGCTTGAAGTGCTCATCCACAACGACAAGACGGTGGACCCGGGATTTGCGGATAGTGTCGAAGATAGTATCCAGGCCGTCATTGAGTGAGCAGGTGTAAATGCCAGGGAAGCCCTGTACACGGTCAGTATAAAATCGGCATATAAAATTCCGCATATCACATACCGCAGAACGTTTCTTCAGCGCTTCTCCAACAGTCAGACTCAAATCGTCATAAACACCACCCTTAATCAAGGTGATCACATCAACCGACTCGAAAACATTGTACACGACACCTTCCGAATTCACAATCGGTACGCTGGATATACTGCGTTCGACCAGAATATGGATGACATCAATGACAGGTGTATCCATCGAAGCCGTAGCAACATTATCATACGAACCAAGCAACAATTCTCCCAGCGGCCGACGCAGCTGCTGCGTATCAGGGACATTGACAGCAACGAATTTCAAGATCCGGTATTGCGTGATGACGCTGAGAACGTGGGGCCGCTCGGTCTGACTATCACTGGTGACAAGGGGGATACGGCGGGCGCGCGATTCCAGCATGCGCCGACACGCTTCGTACAGCGGACGTTCGGGGTCGATCGAGATGGTCTCTGGTGGCGCGACGCCTAGCGCCTTTTCGACTTCTGTAGGGTCTTGTAAGCCGCGGGGTTCCTAGGCTGTAACGAGGGGTGGATTTGGGACTGGGGGTCTACGCACCTCGCAGACTGTCCAGACGGAATTGATCGATTTGGTCCAGCGCCGCTGGGTTCTGGAAATAGTATTGGATCACATTGATGTAGTCGGATGTGGTTAGAAGTCCGGCGAACTTGGACGCCTTCGAGTCCCATAATGGTGCTGAGACGATGCCTGTGTCGCCCGGTGTCCGGGTCAGAGTTAGCCTGGGGATTCGGTCATTGCGTGGACAATGGGATTCTCGAGGATAGAGAGGGATGTAGCGACGGGTGTGGGGAGGGAGGGGTTCAAGGACGTGCCATTTTGGATCAGGATGTTGAGACTCTCCTTGACGGAGAGCGAGGTATCGAAGATGATGAGTCGGAAGCTGAGGGGCAGCACATCGTAACTATTGCGGGCTTTGAGGAAGTTGCGAATGGCACGCTGTAAGGTGTTAAGGTGTTAGTCGAGATCTGGATGTAAGCCCCCGGAGGTTCAGGGAAAAAGCAAGGTTAAAATGAGACACTCACCAGGCCCAGTCGCTCTTCCCGATCGATTGCTCTCTCGGAGGCCATTGGAGGTTGGTACGAGGATGGCTGCACGAAAAGGCGCGTGACCAGAGGTGAAGGTCCCGAGTTGGTCTTCCGCCTTGGTGGGGGTTTCTGGGGGGGACCGGGGTGAGAACATATAGCTTCTCACTCTCTATATCACTTTCTACTATTCCGCCTGCATTATTTGTCTCGCAGGTCCCTGCGCTGCATGGATACGAACTAGGAAGTAGATTTCCCCATATTCTCACCGTCATCCCTGCTGACCTTCATGGCCGCATCCACGGCGATAGGTCAACGAATGGTATAAGTTAATGCATGATCTAACTAACGGTCCTTGTTTGACACCTATTTACCCAGGCACTCAAGTTCAAAACCACGACTTCAATTGAATTTCCCTTTCCTTTTTAATCTTAACTGAAACTATCACAAACCGCCGACTTCCGAATATAAACCGCAATGTCCGAGAATAGTGTCGTATCCGGCCCAAACTCGTGAATATCATACCCCTCGAGCATTTTCCTCACCCGAGGCGAGTCAGGATCAGTCCTAGATTCATGAAAATGTCAAAAAAAGACAAACAGAAAGAATACGACACAGACAATACTCACACGGTCCCCTCCTCCTTAGTGATATAATTCAGATCGGTGACGCGACACCAAATGACAATCGCCGGCCGAGCAAGATCCGCAATGATCTCCTTGGTAGCCACATTAGGCGCAATGGAAAGCACAACAGACTGCTCATCCACCTCCAGCCAACCGCGCGGATCATCAATAACCTCGAGTCCAGCTTTGCGCAATATCTCCTTATCGATGGTGGTATACCATGGATCCTGCACGTAAGACACGATACCCCCAGCCGCTCCCCCATCTCGTCCATGCAACCATTCCTTGATCGTGAGTTGGAGTGCATGCTGCAATGCACTCCGCTTGCAGTAGTAAGGTTCTTCATCGCCCCGACCTTGACGTATGTAGGACATCGAACCAAGAGCAAACCCGACAATCTTGTTGATCCGATGATCCTTTGCAAACGACGACAACAAATTCTGCAAGTCCGTACATGTCTGACTATCTTTCCACTCTTGCATGCATGTTTCGAAATGTTGCGCTACAATCTCCGGCTCGAGGGTCGGGTATGGAGGGAGCATCTCCTTTGTCTCTATGTCAATGAGATGTGTCCGCTGGTCGACGCCCAGAGAGCAGTAGATCTGTTCGTTTACGTATTCGCTCCATCTGAGGTGGTTGAGCATTGATGCTCGCGGTACGTATCTTATCTCGAGTTCTTTGCTGGAAATAGTTAGTTGCGGTGTCGATTATGGAGGGGAGCTAGGTAGGATAGACTGGATTGAATTGCCATACTATACATATGCCCCTTTCACATCCTTTTCGTTGAGAAATTCTTTAACTCGCCCGGTCTGAGCCTCGATTTCGACATCGTCGCCGTTCAGATCTGTGGTGGTGAGTTTGTCGCCGTGTTGGGGGTTGCGTTGGCACTGCGCCCAAAGATCGCTGATGGCCTTTTTTGTGAAGAATACCTTGCCCGAGTCGTAGATTTCGTGGATGCGTGCTTCTGCTTCCTGTACCGTTGGTCTCTCGCGACCATTGACCCATTCAGCGTGAAGTATCGCATAATGAGGGCCTTTCTGGGTAGCGCCCATTGTGAATCGTTTTGGGAGAAGTGATTAAATCGAGAGTACCATTGTCGCCTCAAGATATAGCAACCTTAAAACTAAACAAAGGTACCTCGCCGCAGTCACAGTCACACAGCCTCAGCCCGGTTGGCCCCCATTCTGCATGTATGTGCTGTCACAGAGTTCAAGGCGGCTACGAGGGAACGGATATATTGGCTGGAAGAGCGCTGCGCTCGTGCTGGGCTTGCATAAACTCATGGCTATCATATGATATGGCTCTAAGAGATAAATAGAAAGAAAAAAGACACATTAATCCAAGAAAGAAACGCCCGAAACACCACCGCAGCTATGCAAGGTATCATCGCAAAGCACATTTTCAAACTCCGCGTCGGTCAGAAAGAGCCATTCGCTTTGGGAAGAAAGACATGAGAGAGAAGTGTAAGAATGAGAATCATAAAAGAAGCAAATTATCCGCTGAGCTTATTGGTGCCCGTGTAACTTGAGTCGGTAGATGCAGGTGTGGTCTGCTCCCCAATTCGAAGCTACGCGGAACACAATCTTGTCCACGCGGATGCCTTGAATGTCGATGACTGTCTGGATGGGGAATGACTGGGTATATTCGTCGCTGTGGATGTCGTATGTTATTTTGCCAATACGGTAGTAATTTGGCCCGAGCTTTGGGTCATCAGAGTAAGCGCTTGGGTGCTCTTTAGGATCGCTACGGCCAATAGATTCCATGAGCAACTCATGCAGTGAGCCGAGTCCTGAAAGCCCCAAGCTACCGACGCTTTGGTCACGGGAAGAAGGAGGTTCGGTCGGCAGTGGTGGCAATGGACCATTTGCAGGGGCAACATTGGCCCAAAAGCGAGGTAGCATTCCGGTAGCCTTGGGCGTTGGCTCCTCAATCGGTGGCCGGGCAGAGCTTATTTCATATCGAGCCCACACCTCTATCTCTCGTGGTGCGGCCTTGATGTCGAGAGAAGCGCCCGCTGGTATGTGTTCAACAACGAGTGACTCTGGAACAATTTTGTGGCCAAGCAAGACAGATAGTTGGGTTCCGTTCTGGATGGGGCTGCACCAGCAGTCACCCGCGTCTTCCCAAGCAGAGAGAGCAGCTCTTGGAGGCTGTGGTGTTCGTAATTCTGTGTAGATGGGAGTGAAGGATTTCACCCAATTCCATGGCCTCATAGCCCAGTGCGCCCTGCTACCATAGGTTGGGGAGGTGTTGAACGGGTCAATAAGGGTTCCAGTTGATAAAGCCAGGAAGTTGACATGATGAACTGGATTTCGATGCGGACTGGAGTCCGTGATGTATGTGGGAACAGCGTTGCGGTATTTAGAATGCTCCGATCGAACAGAATTCATCTCGCTTGATAGCGATGACATCTCGGAGTTCATTCTTGATACCTGGCTCCGGAGGCCATTGATAACTGTAGGGTCAGACATATTGCCAGAGTAATACAAAATGTCACTTCCGGGAAACAGGCGTGACTGAAGCTTTCCTGGGAGATTGCTTGAGAAAACGAATACAAGGCCCACAGCAAAAAGTAAGACACTCATTGCTCGATTCCAATTGATTCGGTATCCCGCAAGGTCCTCGAAATAACCTCTCCATCGACGTAGTACACTTTCCTTGAGTTCAATCAGGGACTGACTACTCGCGACAGACGCCGAGCGAATATATCCCGGGATGACTGTTCGCGCGGGAGCAGTCCAGGCATCAGCTTCGGACTTGAAAGACCCAGCCACAGATCCACGCTCCGATAGGTCCTCGTCTTCCTCGGGAACAATGTACAGACCAGAAGGGCGTCGAGGCGGGGCTGTGATGTTCTCGCCACGGTATCCTGGTCTCGTCCTTTGTAATTCGTCCTCGTTGATATCACGTTCCAGATTCCAAGATCGCTCGGAAGCATTGTCGACGGAGCTGTGGCGATCAAGCGAGCTACGCATTGGATCATCGTGATAAGGAGATCCAGCCCGATGCATCGGTGATGGATAGAGTGGAGAATTTGGATTTGATAGCTGAGATAGACGGCGCTGCATTGGAGGTTCGACATCGGGACTGGGTTCTGAAGAGACCGCACGCTTAACAGGAGGCGTGGGAGTCTTGTCAGACCCCGTGGGTGACATGGTAGCATGCTGCAGGGCATCCTGAAGCTGGGTTTGATCGGGTGTTGGCGCACGCTTTGGAGCCTTCGCGCGCGGAGTCGCCTTGGGTTTCGGGGCGGCTTTCGGGGCGTTTTTTGGGGCAGCCTTTTTCGCTCGCACCTGGGCCTTCTCAACATTGGCATCAACTGTTGCCGCCAAATCCTTAATCCCTATGTTGGCCTGCACCACGTTATGCCGAGGCATACTTGTTGTGGTAGGGGCACCATAGTTCCACGATTGCCCGACTGGGATACTAGGCAGGTATTGCTCAGGTGCTGTGTCAAGGTATGCCTCAGGGAAATCCGGGACGCGCCGCTGAGGAGCTCCATCAGCCTTGCGCGTGGCGCGTTTCGGTGTCATTTGCTCATGTAACCGTGATCCGATTCGAAGGGTAACGGTTCGTCCTGGGTTGTGCTCGTCTAGTATCTGTCGGGATATGTTAGCTCTGGTTGGAAAGGTAAGCAAACACAAAGTATCACGGGCGAGAGATACGGGGTAGCCATGAGATCCCAATACCTTGAGTAGGCTGCGGGGAAGAGGTGGCCATGACAGGGCTATAGAGGCTGAAGTATTGGTGCAATTGCAGATGACAGAAAGGGTTCATTCCACTGCATATTGCATCCAGTGTCTCATTTCATAGGCAAAGCCATAGACTCAAACCAGCGCATCGATGCGGGAAACAAATGCGACAAGGATACGTAGTCGCACCGGGACCAATGGCTGCAGAGGGACCAAAGTAGAGCAAAGAAAAAGCAAGAAATTGTCCTAACTCACCAGGAAGCTAGCATAAACAGAGGAAACTTAGGCCGGCGCAGTGTAGAAGTCGAAGGTTTGTAGATCGCGGGTCCTGCAAGACGCGCAGACGCGACGGAACGTGACTTGCGACGGAAAAGAGCTGACAACCCCAAGGAGAGAAGATGAGTTGAGAGGTAGCTGCTTAAGCTAGCTCAATATTCTGCAGCGACGATCTGTCTGGATGTGATCGAAATCCGGGGTGGAAGGGAGGTGTGGAAGGAAAGGGTAGGGGTGGAGCGTGAAAGATCGCCGATGAAGAATCCCCAACTCGACGCCGGGCTGGACGTTTTTGTACTGCAGCACATTTGCCAGATGGAACATGTCTTCCCTTTGTATGTAAAACGATTCTTTTATTAGATGCACTGGTAGGCGGGGTCTCGTTTCTTCTTTGTGACAGAGCTCTTTGTTACTCGAGAGACGCCTCGATCTACATTGAAGGGCCCGATACTGACTTGTATCATGCTACTACAGTCTGGAACAAGCCCTTAGTTATTGAGATCAGTGGTTCGGATATGAAAGAAGTCCATGAACATGTTCATGCTGTATACAGAATAGCCAACGTCATGGTCCTGCCACTCCAGGTACGCCCCGTCGCTACTAAGACACAGGGGGATGGATACTATACACGGTCGCGAAGGGTATGGGGCGAAAGCAAGTACAAGGAAGAGGTGACCCCAAGCAGGTATACGACCACTACATGGCATATAACGCGTCTAGCACGTCCAAGCAGCCATTGTGCCGTCTTTGCGACCCTCCACGAGGTAGCCGTCCTTAAGACGAACTCGCTCGACGGTCGCGGGGAATGGCCCATCACCTTCGATGCCGACACCAGGACCGCAGTCCCAGTGGTTGCCATCGGCCTTGTCGTAGACCTTGACCACGTTCTCTCCGGCGGCGGCTACAATGCGTTTTGAGTCGAACATCATGCTGGTAACGGGCTTGTCGTAGGCATAAGCGTCGTAGATTGAGCCCATGCGCAGGTCCCAAATCTATAAAACAGTCAGAAATAAAACAAAGCGTGCGAACCCATGAGAGCTTACTCGAATACTACGGTCAAGACTGCCCGTGATCAGATGCATATCGTCAAATTGAAGACATGTTACTGGTCCGGTATGGCCTACAAGACTGCGATGGACATGTCCACTGCGCAAATCCCAGAGACGGACCATTCCATCAGCTGTACCGCATGCTAGCGCAGCGTCAAAGCACTGTATTGCGCCGACAAAGTCGGCAGACGCATCGGGCATGCGGCCCGATGGTCGCCAGTCAGACTCTCCTGACATCGTCGAAGATGCCTGAGCCGCTGCCCACAAGACATCCAATGTTTGTACGCAACGTCCTTTGACCAAATCCCATTGTCGAAGGGTTTTATCCGCAGAACCCGAAATGAGAGTATTGCCGCGGAAGTGAAGTGCAGTCACCTCGTCCACGTGTGCCTCTAGTGAGAAGACGTTGCAGTCATCGAGGTTGGAGGATGGCGGTACCGCAGAAATGTGTTCTTCTTGATCACGCTCGTGCTTGTTGAGACGCCCGTCCCGCGTCGTGGGCCGAGCACGGCTCAGATCCCACAGCTTCACTGACGCATCCATCGATCCCGTTGCCACGATATTATCCTCTACCTGCAAGCATCGAACCGAGGCGTGGTGTCCTTCCAAGAAACCGGAGCATCGGCCGACGTTCATATCCCAAACTCGGACGGTGTCATCTAGCGCGGCGCTGACCATTGTACCGAAAGGATAGTCGAAGTCGATGGCAGTCACCATATCAGTATGTGCTTCTATTTCCTTGATTAAAGACCCTGGAGCAAAGTGTTCGTGTAGAATGGGCATAGACCGTTTCCCTAAGATTGTCAGCTGCAATTCGCCCCCAAAGCACGATAAAATTGCATACTTTGTGATCGGTGCCGTAGGCTCTTTGGTGAAGGTGAGGGCAACTTGTCATATATCGATTCTGACATGAACGAAGCTTCCATGGCCGGATCGCCTGATGACCCAGTAGATTCATCCAGGTCTTCAGACTGCGGCGTCGCTGCAACTGGTGTGTCCTGGGATTCCTCTTCTTGGAAATCCTCGAGCTTCACATCGAGTTCGGTCACTATTCCAAGTCAGATTCATTACTCTCACGGTTGAGCATCCATAGGTTGACCCACGTTCATGCTCCAATGCGGCTTCGTCCATTTCTAAGCCGGCCAATCGATCAAGAACGATCTTGCGCATCTTGTGCAAATTAGCGACCTTGTTATCGATCTCATGAATCTCCGCGCTGCACATATTCTTGCGAATACCCATCAAGTCCAGCTTGCGACTGAGCGATTTCCGCTGGTCCTTCAACCCGGCCGGGCCAGCTGTCAAGGCGCCGCCTCTCTCGCTGTCCTTTAGCATTTTGGAGCTACGCCTCCGGTGTCGCTTTTTCTCGGGTTCATCTTCGGGAACAGAGGCCTGGAAGCCTTGGAAAAGGGAGTAGGAGCTGCTATCTTCGGGGATGTTGGCGAGAAGGTCGTCCGGGACGGAGGAGAGAGCACGCGACTGGATCTCGGTAGTCGAAAGCTTCGATCGAACAAGGTCGGTCGGAGTTGTTTGTGTTAGCGAAAACACCTTGCGTTGCGCCGCCGGTCGCCGCAGCTCGCGGTGAATGTCGTTCATGGCATTGTGAAAGTGAGTGTTGTTTTGTTCGCCCGGTCCCATCAAGTGTCCTGCCGTTGTGGTGACCTTTCGTCCGAATGCTTCAATATGACGAGTCTGCAATGGCATATCCAAACTAGTCAGCCTGCAGCTTTGGTGGGGGATGTGGTCGAAGGGCAGGGAAAAAGCCTACCGTCACGCCGGTGCCCAGAATGCCGTCGCCCTCAGCGATATCTGACAGGCCCGACGGCGAGTCGTCGCGGCGCTGGTTCTCCATAGAGTAGTTGGGCTCCAAGACCCATGCGATTTGGGGGAGGGAAGTTGGGTTGGTGATGAGCAGGAGACTAGGAGGCTCGCGCGGGTTACCGCGTTCCCCGGGTACTGCCGTATGGTACTTTTACGGTCTGAAACCAGCTGCTTCGGTCGATTTCGACTGTGCAATCCCTGCGGACGAGGGATGAATGACACTATTGCAATGCCTGCAAGGATCTTCAGCTACAATTGGCCTCGGTTCGTCGATTGTGGTGTGTCTACCGGTGATATGCCTCGGCCTTGTACTGTCCAGTACCAGATCGAATAGATCTACTAGATAGATCAACCAACACTGAACTTTATTCGCTACATGTACTTATGTCTTGTTCGGTCGGGCCCTGCAGGGTGCATACTGAACATGTCGCACAAACAGTCATCCTCCAGGGCTCTAAGATGCGAATTATATAAGGGGCTGAACGAGTGGACTCCGTACTAAACTTCGCAGTCCCGCAGATCGACTCTCCTTTTCCAACTCACCAAACCCAGCCATGGATACCGCCATTGATCTCTCCGATGCCTCCAAGGCATTGGACCTTGCCAACATTCGTTTCCAGCTGATGTGAGCTTCCATTTCCACAGCCTCATCGGATCTGAACCCCCCTTAGATCTTCCCCGCGCCCCGCCATGCATAACCCGATCCCTGCAATATAAGATTACCACAGAGCAGTCTGCTAACACTCCAGCTCCTAGTCGACTGGAAGACACAATCACCTTCCACCTGATCGAGCGGGTACAATTCCCAGTCAACAAGACGGTCTACGTCCCTGGCGGCGTGAAGATCCCCAACAGCGAGTTCAGTCTGCTGGACTACCTGCTCCGCGAACAAGAACGGCTACAGTCGCGCGTGCGCCGCTACCAATCCCCGGACGAATACGCCTTCTTCCCAGACGTGCTGGAAGAACCCATCCTGCAGCCCCTGGAGTACCCGCACATCCTGCACGACAACGATGTGTGCGTCAACGACGTCATCAAGAAGCGCTACATCGACGAGATCCTGCCCGCAGTCTGCCCAAAGTACGGACGTGAGGACCGTGGTGAGACGCAGGAGAACTACGGCTCGGCTGCAACCTGCGACGTTTCCTGTTTGCAGGCGCTGTCGCGTCGGATTCATTTTGGAAAGTTCGTTGCCGAGTCGAAGTTCCAGAAGGATCCGGAGACTTTTGTGCGCCTGATTAAGGCTGGGGACCGAGCTGGTATTGATGCTGCTATTACCAATTCGGCTGTTGAGTTGAAGGTCCTTGAGCGTCTTGGGCTGAAGGCTAAGACTTATGGCACTGATCCTGCTTTCCCTGATGAGAAGGATCAGAAGATTAACAGTGATGCTGTTGTTGCTATGTACAAGGTGAGAGTCTTATGTGTTCCTCTTCATATGGATGGATTGCTGATTGGTGCTTTTATAGGAATGTGTTATCCCATTGACCAAGGTTGTTGAAGTCGAGTACCTCATGCAGCGTCTCAAGGGAACACAGTGGGAGTAAGGGGGAACTGATTATGAAGTTACGATGCCGATATTTTCCTTACAGTTTCCATAGTTACGAAGATCATGTGGCCGGCAGTACGCCATGCCAGAACCGAGATAGACAACGCAAAAGTGCAAGAGAACTCTAGCACAAAATATATTTTCATAAACCGGACATAAATGTTATGACACTAAAAGGTCATGATGTTGTCTAAGACAGGTACTCAGTAACAGCCTTGACCATAGGCTCGAACTTGGCCGCCTCGATGAGCATCAAGCTACCATTAGTACGGATACCAAGCTCCTGGAATGCACGCTTGGAGTCAGAGTGTCCCTCGTCAAACTTATGAGTGTACTCAATAGAGCCGGAGCAGAGCGCATGACGCTCTAGGATCTCGTCCTCGGGGTGGAAGAAGAAGCGCTCGGACTTCACGCCATCCTTCTTCTTTTTCTTCTGCGGCCGGGACTCCTCTTGGTCAAGCTTTGACTCGATTTCTTCATAGTTTTTGGAGAAGATCAGGTAGTGCGAGAAAGAGTAAGGCTCCTTATCCTCAATCGCCCAGGCGATCTCTTCCTGGAGCATGTTGTACATGGGCGGGACGGTCTCGGAAGGCATGTTGATCAGGCGCTCTGTCAGAATGAGTCCGATGGGAGGGACGGGGTTTTGAGAGAGGAGCTCGTTGGCGGCTGACAGGGAGGGGTTGGCGGCAGTCTTGGTCTTGAGGTACTTGATCAGGTCTTGGATAACAGGTTTATCCTGCAATTGTCAGTATGCATGGGATTGTAAAACTGAGGCGATTTGCGTACCTTGTGTTCCTGTAGGTTGAGAACCGACAGGAAGGCATAGGGATCCGATTCGTTTCCATCGACCTTGACCGTCGATCCCAATGTAGGCTGCGAGAGGATCAAATCCGCTAACGCGGACATATCGAAGATCTGGGCGTCATTGTCGAACAGCTGGCGCAAGAGATTCTTCAGGCCGTGGAAATCGACAGCTGGCTGTGGGTCGAACCATTCGAAGTCTACATTGACCATGTCAATATCCTGTCGTCGTCAGTCCTGTTAGCAATGCTCGAGATCCAGTGGGATCTAGCCAGTCTGACCTCGTCGGAATCGTCGTCCTCAGGCTGGGTGCCTCCCATAGGGACATCACCGAGATCCTTCCGTTTAACCATATTGAATAATGCTCTGTGGTTGGGTAAAGGTGAGATTCGAAGTTGCTCGCCCCGCGCTCGGCCGCTTGCGAACTTTTTCCTTATCGGCTCTTATCTGCCACAACCCTAAATGTTTGTATACTCTGGAGCTTGGGGGTCTATGAAGTTCTTGCTCAAAGGGTGGTACGAAATGGCCTGACTGTAGGTCTGTTTGCTTTTGTTTTATCCTTGAGAAAAAGGGTATAGCTATATAATATTTGAAATATAACCGACCCTTGCCTAGGTATAACTCCTTATAGCATGATGCATCTCTAGCGGCATAGAGCTTACTATGATCAATGGATGATTATATCCTCGCTTCTAATAACTTTCAAGCATTTTTACTAAATAACAATTAAGTTGAAGATATATCGGCCAAAGGCCTAACAACTACCTAATCCTGCCAAGCTGCTGGTGTATAATCGAAGATCTCTCACTTCTTATGTACTCTCTTCTACATCCTCGCATTCGTCTACATCATCCCATTTTCTATCTATGCACTTCCTGCCACGCCTATCTGCCCACAGAACTTACAAGGTGTCTCGCAGCAAAGACCTGATGGTGTATTGTACCGTCCCTAACGAACGAAGAACGGGCCACGCTCGTACTGGTTCAGGGCATCAAACCGCCAGCTTCCACGATACGATACAATCAGCGTCGCTGAGGCTGAAGCTGCTGCCACTCGGCAGAAGTCCGAGTTGGCGAAGCCGTCATACTTTGACGACAGATCCCGTCGAGATTACTACCGCCCCGGGTCATTGCACTCATGGCGCTTATTGCGGCGGAGAACGTCATTCCACGCGCAGTGCATCTACGAGCCCACACAAGAGCCATGCGCCGCTTCGCAGAGAACGCAGAACCTGCTGCACGGCAGCTGTATGTCTTATGGTCTCATTTCTAGGCTTCGTATGAAGCCCTGTTTCCTATTTGGCTCTGTTTAGACGCCCGTCTCGGTCTATCTCCTTTGGGTTTCTGAAAGTCAAGCAAAAAGCTAACCACTCAATATTACTTAGCGAGCAAGAGCTAATTGACCCAGATTGGTGAATCTCGGCGCCCCACTAGCCACCTGCCTTGATAGGACGGTCTCGGAAGGCATGTCAATCAGGCGCTCGGTCAGAATAAGTTCGATAGGAGGGCTGTGGTTTTGAGAGAGGAGGTCATTTTGAGAAAGGAGTTCGTTAGGAGCTTACAGGGAAGGATTGGCCGCAGCCTTGGTCTTAATGTACTTGATCAAACCTTGGATGACGTGTTTATCCTGCGATTGCCATTACGCACCGGAGCTTTAGCGGCGAGGTGTACTTTGGTCTGTGTCTCACCTAGTGCCTGCGTCCCCTTTACTATAAAGAGAATGCAGTCAATTAGTTCTTAGCTCCGTCGAAAGTAGACCATCTGGGCTCAGCTCACGCACATGCCTCACAAGCTACCAAGAGAACAGACTTGGTGTTTTGGGAGAAGGCAAGAATGGGTGGAATTGAATGGAAGTTCGCATACCATATTAGAATATGAGAATAGGTTGGAAGCAAAGCAAATCCGACCTGAATTATGGTTAATGCATTAGTCTAGTATCCTTGCAGCCTATCAGCAGGCCAAGTAAACACAGGATATGAGTTTCTACAAGTACTCCAAGTACCAGGGCTGTTGAAGCTTTATAGACCTCGTTCGTTGAATAAGTACGAAGACTTTAAAACACAAGTCTCCCTCCACATAACCACGTACCTAATCAAATCTAGATCTAATAAAGTGTAGATTAAACATCATACTCAACAGCCTCAACAGTGGGCACCTTATGAAGCTTAACATCAAAGAACTGCGCAACAAGCTGCACACAATCCCAAATGACCTCGACCTCCTCCTTCGGCACCCCAATCCGTCTGGTCCCACGAATATGCCAATGCGTCTCCTTAGGCAAATTCTGACTCATAATACCAGGCAAAACAACCAACTGCGTATCCAAATCATCAAGAACCGTCCGATCCGACAAAAACAACCCATAAGTAATCTCCTTCGACAACCAAGAAAAGTCCCGGTGAGCACTAAACAAATCTAGCGTGCCAGTTGTATTCCGCGAATACAGCTTCTGCATCCACCCCGTGCCTCGCTCGTGGTTCGCCTGGTCACATTGCCAGCCTTCACGCGTGAAGGTATAATCCTTATCCTCGTCGCGCTCAACCTCGGCGATGGATAGGATTGCCTCGATGGGCTTGCAGACTCCGACAATTGGGACGGATTTGACGAGTGCTTCGCGCAATCGCCGGATCAGGGCTTGTCGGGCTGCGGAGGTGGTGTATTGCTCTTGCTGGATGAGGTGAAGGTAGAGCTGGTCTGCGCGCTCTGGGTCTGGGCTTGCGGCTAGAGTGGAAATTGCTAGGACGTACCACTTATCGCTGCCGAGGTTTGTTGCTTTGAACCGGTTCTCGAGCTCGGTGAAGAGCGCGGAGAAGCGGGGTTGCACTTCTGTTGTGCTTGTAGGTGCTGCTGGCTCGGTTGAGGTGCTCATTGTGGCAATTTTGTACGGTTGGTAGGTTTGTGGAATTGTGCAGATTGTTGTATGCCTTAGTGTTCGGCTCGCTTGGAGTGGTATACGCGCGAACATGGTCTGGGAGGTTGATATCACTCAATCACGCATTTCTCTCCGATGGCCGGAGTGGGTCGCTACAGGAACGTGTTCAAGGCATGTTGGACAACGCAGATGTATACAATCCTCGAGCCCTTTGCCTTTCAAGCAATGAGCGATATGTTACTCTACAGGAATTGAACTATTCGAGGTTGTGCATTAGCGGTGAATACGTCAGAGATCTAAGCTTCCACGGTTCACCGCCCGCACATCGCGAGTATAAACAACATGAGGTTTCTGCTGCAACAAACACACCAGGAATTGCCGGTATTCAATTTAACCTATGGTATTCACAGGCACATCTAGCAAATACTTTTACAAGCTCAGCCTCTTCGAGATCACCGAACTGGCTGAGTCCTGTCCCCGCCTAGAAGAACTTCGTCTTCTGGTTCGAGGATCAATGGGCAGTCGAGAATAATGTGAACTCTACAAGGCTTTCGGAAACTTCAGAACCTCCAATGCCTCATGCTAGATCTTTATATCGACCCTCGGCCACGGGGGTTTCTTAATGGGGCTGATGAGTCTATACTTCGAAAAGGAGTGGTGACTCCACAATATATGAGACGCTTGCTTGTGGGATTTGGAGGCTGATATTCCCCAAGCAAAGTTCCTGCCGTCTGAGCAGTCTACGTATAGCGCCTTTTGGTCATCGGTTCGATTTCGTTTCGCGAAATGGTTCTCACGCTCATTCCTGGTGACACGCTATAACCTCAACGATATGGACATACCCGCCGTTGTAGAAATTGGCAAGAAGGAAGCAATGATACGAAGAAAGCGTGTTGCTATTATGCGCTCGGCTCTCTTGAGAAGTGAGATAAACCTGTTCTTTCTGACCTCTAGTCCGCCAGGAAGAAGAACAAGTAGTTGCAGGTTAGGCCGGCTATCCTTTGCAATTGAATGATTAGGTCGAAGTCAATTGCCAACAAATACTGTGCTTGGATCTTTCTGTACATCTACAGTATAACGAAGATCGATTCCTTGGTAGAATATGATATGTGCGGTAAGCGAGTTAGTATGGCCAACCCAAATTGCGTGTAACGCGAATCATATTATACTGCAGAATTTTCGTCAATTTATAATGTGATCTTTCTTTCTACTCTATATAGATAGATTAGCGTAAGGATTTACGGCGAATGGACTATCAGTGACGATGCGACAGTGAATTCAGGTATAGTTCTACAGAATATATCTTGGACACAGTATCATTGATTCATTACACGCCTTCCTAACACACAGAGATACTGAACATTGCAATTCGTTACATTTATAATACTGCTCGGAATGGCCAGCTTACCTACCCACATCAACATGCGCCAGAAATGTAGGGTTGATGGCCATATTGGCGGGAGGTAACTGATGCCCGGCCTCACTATTATCCGAGGTATGTAGGAATTATCTTTCATAAGTGCAAACGGACGTGCCTCCAATCGAAGCTAACGTACTTCAACGTAGACTTTGGTAAATAATAAGCAAGGTTACCATGCAGACATGCACCTTATTTTCTCGTTGCAGTGTCAAGCATATTCAATGGTATGCTGCACCATCGTGATGATTGACTTCCGATCGAAAGCCAAAAGCACACAAAACCATAATATGGAATATCAATTACCTCTATGAAATGAATCAAATATCCGTGCTGTAATTCAATGGCAGGGCACTAGATTTCCAGGTACAAGCATCAACGTCAGAAGAAGCCTAGGAAAAAGACTAGGAAGTGGATCCCTTGATCTCCGCACGAACTGAACAATGTCACCAAGCAACTTCCTTGATTGCAGTGATGCAAAGAGAAAACCAAAGAAGGGTCCAGAGCACATGCGATCAGAAATCGCAGGGTTGAAACTGTTGTCATCGCCATCCAACCTGGTTAATGCCCCACTATGATCTCAGTGACTCCAGCATGACATCACAAGTACAATCTCAACTATAAGACCAAGGGTCGAGCTTCTGACTTTGAATTCTCATCAATCACAGCTGAAAACCCCCTCAATCACTCTTCTCTATAATCCAACAAAACAAACAACCTTTCCTCTCTCCCTTTCCGAAACTCTTCTATACATTCAATCCAAAATGTCAGGACAATCCTCCGTCGGAAACCGTGCCCTCTATGAAGCTGGTGACCAGCGCAACGAACCCGTCTCCGAGCTCCAGGAGCGCGCCCGTTACGCGGAAGGCCAGACACACAGCCACCAGAACCTCGACTCCAAGGATGGCCGTTCCATCGCCAACAAGCTCGCTTCCCAGGAGCACAAGAAAGACCCTTCGCACCACCACAACGACGTCCAGAACCAGGAAGCTGAGCTCAGCAAGCAAGATCCTACCAAGCCCGTAAGTGACACCACATCATATACTCTTCCTCATTCCGTCATTTGCAATTGCTAACCGGATTGATTCTTCTAGGCCAAGGTCCACGGCAACGCTCCCTCCAAGGGCGCCCAGATTGACGCCGACCTCCAGGCTGAGGATGAGCAGCGCCTTCGTGAGAAGGGCATCAAGCACTAAATTATGTTATGATGTTATGATATAGTAAATAGCAACCTTTCTTGGGTTGGTGTGGATGGATGTTGTTGCATTTATGTACGATATAATGATATCTGAGTGCAGTTTTAAAAAGTACACAAAAGCAGAAGACCTCTACACCGCTGGTGATCAATCAATCAATCAAATCAATTAAAGTTCTATAACCTGTTGGAGCCTAACTAGTATCGTAATGGCTATGCAGGCGCTTCTTTCCGGTTGAAGCAAGAACTTGTGTCCGTACGCCTGATCATGCTCTAGTACAAAATGTGAGGCTGGTTCTCAAAGAGTGGAAGCACCAGCCTATTACATGTAAGCCAAACCTATAAACCTGCAAATGCGTCGAAAAAGCCTATATAAATGAAAATTCAATGCTAGTGATGTATTGAATACAGAAATGAACCCGTAGATGCACCTCTACCTCTCTAATGTCCTCTTCTCACGAGATATGTACGCACTTCCGCATCAAGATCCTAGCCAACTAGTACTGCTGTAGATTAAACCCCGTTCTCCGATGTCCTCACTTTAGCCTCGATTGCTATTTATTGTTATTTTAGGCCGTCTAGGGATCGCTTAGTCCTGTAGCGTGTATTCGAATAGCTAAGTGAGGCTCTCTCCTTAAACGTGGTAGCAAGCGGTAGTGAGTACCTAGCGTCTTCGGGACTCTGCTCTATAACCTCTAGGTTTAGGTCTTTAGCTTTATTATCGGATTCTTCTTAGTCTACATATTAAATCTAAGTAAGAAGACCGGTTTGGTGTATGAATTTGGCAACGTAGCGGGTTGCCAGCGGGTCTAACACAATAGTGTTATAGTCTAGTCCTTTCACTCTAGCTTTGTGTAGCTAGTTAAATAGACGTCTTCTTAGGGTTCCGAAGGTCTTAAAACAAAAAAAAAAGACACTGTGAGATACATATACTACGCCTTCCCTAATTAGGCTTAGACAGGTGGAGAGGGGGTCCGAATATCAACAAGAGGGGGTCCTTTTAACATTGCCCATTTTCAATCGCATAAACGAAAGATACAGCATGGAATGGGCAACTGGGTGGAGTGCCTCTATTCAATCCATCAATGATAATGGGCAGCGGGAGCAATTTGTCCGCCGCCTACAGAAAATCAGAGATGATAGGTACGAAGTGCCATTCTTTACCGACCAGCAAATGGGGGCATGTCCCCAGGTGAGAGAATGCACCTCCTCGAGAGGATGGATGGCGCCATGTTTCGCTTCCTTGATGAGATGGCGGCATGCAACAAAAAGGCCGTGGACGAAAATCGCGTAGGATCCTCCTCGCAACTACAAGAGTACCAATATCTCTTTCAGAAACAGGCCGAGTACATCACGTTGGTTCAGAACCAGATCACCTGCCAGTATGGAGAACTGAGATTCATTTCGAGTGAAGTTCAGGCTCTGTACCAGAAAAAGAGGGACCCTAAAAACCGACTGCCTCGACTTATTAGCGAGAACATTTTGAACGCATCTACCCATACCGATCGACTGCTAGGGAGGAAAATTCTGCCGACATGGAGAACCGCAACAAATGATCAAGGAGAGATTGTCCAGACACTTCAGTTCCAGCAGGCCCAAGGAAAAAGGCAGAAAATCAACAGTGGTCAGTGTAGGTGACATTTGTGGTCTGGTTCTCCGGTGGTGGAGTTGAGGTGTGGTAACGTTATAATGCAGGACATGTGTCCAAGCCACAGTAACCCGACTCCGGGGCGGGAAAGAAGCTGAAAAGACCAGAAAGCGGCCCGAAGCGCAGAGTATGGCGCAGTAGATCCAAGGTCAGCCATCAGCCATCTAGAGTAAACTTGGGATCATCGTCATGCGGTCCAGCAAAGACGTGGCCCCAATACTCCTCGACTCGCTCGCACAGGCCCACTTTGTTCTCCCATGTTTTGAAGGCCGTCTCCAGATTACAGCTGACCCATTTGATTTCCTCCCAGTATGCCTTTTCGACATCGTATCCGAATCTCCCAACGGTTTCCGCGGGTGCGGTCCAGGCTCGTCCATCAGAACCATCTTCTTTCAGCGTGGGGGTAGTTTCCCATCCCATACCGAAGATCCGGTCTCCGGGATTGAACTTCGGGTAGTTTGCGTGGATCCAGAAAATGTGTGGTGCCTGGGCCACATCCTGGTCCTTTACACGCCACTTGTCTTGTTGCGTCAAGGCGTAGTCCTCGCGGGGATCTGACTGCGCCATGGCTGATCCAGACAGGCCATCTGCAGTGGCGTGTCCGATAGCCTGGACCCTCTCACTGACAGTGTAGAAAGGTGCACCAAGTGCTGAAGCAGCTTGGATAAAGGTTTCCTTATCGCCCTCACCAGGACCGCCTTGAGTTAACAAGCGGAAGTAGTGAGACGGACCGTAGA